AACTCTGGACCTTTTATCTGCTCATTGTAATTGGGATAATGAGGGAATAACACACACCTGACCATGGAACAGCTGAAAAGCCAATTGTCTTACTTTTGGTCCCTTAACAAGTGGGAGGCACATATGCAAACTGTTGTGATTCCTACACCAAACTGTTGTAATTCTTACACCGTTCACCTGATTTGGATGTAAATACCCTCAAATAAAAGCTGACAGTCTGCAGTTAAAGCACATCTTGTTCGTTTCATTTGATATCCATTGTGGTTTTGTATAGAACCAAAAATGTTAGCATTGTGTCGATGTCCCATTATTTATGGACCTGACTGTATGACACAGATTCAGAATAATGAATCATTTCCACCATGTTTCTAGCAGATGTTATAACATCTAGAATAGTATACGTTACCATGACGGTGCGACTGTTGCCTCCTAGAGCAGACTGCAGTAACTTGGTCAGAACTGAATCTCTGTAGGGAATATGAACAACCTTCTTCCCCAGCGCCACATCAGCCAGAGCACTGAAACATAAAATCAGAGCAGCGGGGAAATTGGTGAACCAAACTACAGGAGACCACAGACCAACCTGATGACGTTGCCCAGAGTGGTGAGGCTCAGGTTGATGGCCGTTCCCTCTTTGAGCCGGTCAGCTTCTGACCCCGATGACCTCTGACGCTCACTTCCAGCCAGGTCCACCAAGTTAATGTTGGACTGCTTCGTGATGCTCTCTTTGGAAAAGATCTGATGACAAGTTTTGGTCTTATCATTAAAACTTCAAACAACAAAACAGTAAATTTTCCAATACCTGTTTGAGCTGCAGAATAATGAGCATGTGTGAGCGGCTGCTGTTGGCGTTCATGTGAGTAGCAGCTGTGGTTCGAGTCCTGGTTCCCTGCTCCATCAACTGTTCCACCTACAAACGTTTTAGAAAATCACGTCTCTGTCTCATAAGTGTTTGCCTTATACTAATCTGCATTTGGCTTCAAGTTACTTCAGTGTTTCTGTAGCGACTTGTTGAGTTTGACAATTTTACAACCAGAGAAAAACCCCAATAGCAACAGATTCCCCTTCATTTATTCTAGTGCCTATATGTTTGCAGAATAGTTCAAATAAAGCTTTATATTATGCAAGGATCTTCTTGTACTGTTATATATTTTCTTCTCTTAATCTTAGAGCTCTTATGATGGTTTGCTAATTCATTTAGTTAAAAACAGATTTTATGTTTTCTATAAACCAAGAAAAGTAAAGTGATATCTAAAAATGCACACCAAATAACATCTCAGGTGTCAGAGGGTTCCAACTAGCCAAAGTCTAACTTTTTAAAAAGATGAAAAATAATCTTGGCATGAAAAGCAGGCTGTCATAAGAAATGTAAAATGTTTTCTCTGTTCCGTTTTCAGCTGAGATCATTAAACAACTACTCTCAGATTTGGTGGTGATTTTATTTACGTTGAATAAACCATTGATTTAAACATGCAATATGTAAGAATGTAGTAAGTGTGACTTCATGTGGTCAAATTTGGGAACTGCAGCTAATTTTTTAAACAATTTCCCTTCTCTCTCTTGGTGTTGCCCGTTACAGATCAGCGCCAGAAGATTCTGGGTTACAAGCAAAGACGAGTCATATACAGTAAGCTGATGAGTAGATAATACATCGTCATATCTGGTGTTAGCACTTTGGGTGTTTAATGGTAGGGAGCACTTACTACACTTATTACGGTATGCATATGCATTTGGCATTAGAGGAAGTGTGGTTCTTTGCAGTCTTGGTGTTAGCTTGCCATCCATCCATCCATATTAGCCGCTTATCCGGAGTTGGGTCGCGGGGGCTGCAGCCTAAGCAGAGAGGCCCAGACTTCCCGCTCCCCAGCTACTTGGTCCAGCTCTTCGGGGGGAACCCCAAGGTATTCCCTGGCCAGCCGAGAGACAGTCCTTCCAGCATGTCCTTGGGTCTCCTCCCAGTTGGAGGTGCCTGGATAACTTCACCAGGGAGGCATCCAGGAGGCATCCTGACCAGAGATGCCCAAGCCACCTTAACTAGCTCTTTTCCACATGGAGGAGCAGTGGGTCTGCTCCAAGCACCTCCTGGATGACCGAGCTTCTCATCCTTTTTCTAAGGGAGAGCCCAGCCACCCAGCGGAGAAAACTCTTTTCGGCTGCTTGTAACCGTGATCTCGTTCTTTCGGTCACTACCCAAAGTTTGTGACCATAGGGGAGGGTAGGAATGCAGACTGACCGGTAAAGCGAGAGCTTTGCCTTTTGGCCCAGCTCTCGCTTTACCATGACAGAATGGTTTAACGCCTGCATCACTGCAGACGTAGCACCAATCCGTCTATCAATCTCATGCTCCATTTTACCCTGAGTCATGAACAAGACCCTGAGATACTGGACCACATCATCTGCAAAAACCAGAGACCTGATCCTCAGGCCACCAAAACAGATCCCCTCCACACCTTGGCTGCACCTAGAAATCTTGTACATAAAGGTTATGAACAGAGTCTGTGATAAAGGGCAGCCTTGGTGGAGTCCAACTCTCACCGGAACCAAGCTCGACTTACTGCCGGCAATGTGGACCAAGCTCTGACACTGGTCATACAGGGACCTAACAGCCTATATCAGAGGGCCTGGTACCCCATACTCCCGGAGTACCCCCTACAGGGTCCCCCGGGGGACGCGGTCAAACACCTTCTCCAAATCTACAAAACACACGTAGATTGGTTGGGCAAACTCTCACGCACCTTCCAGGATCCCTCTAAGGGTATAGCGCTGGTCCAGTGTTCCATGGCCAGGACGAAAACCACATTGCTCCTCCTGAATTCGAGGTTCGACAATCCGACGCACCCTCCTCTCCAGAACCCCTGAATAGACCTTACCAGGGAGGCTCAGGAGTGTGGTCCCCCTGTAGTTGGAACACACTCTGCGGTCCCTCTTTTAAATAAGGGGACCACCTGGTCTGCCAATCCAGTAGAACTGCCCCTTATGTCCATGTGATACTGCAGACCTGCGTCAACCAACACAGCCCCACAACATCCAGAGCCTTAAGGAACTCCGGGCAGATCACATCCACCTCTAAGGAGTTTTTTGACCACATCAGTAACCTCGGCCCCAGAGATTGGAGATTCCAACCCAAGGTCCCCAGACTCTGCTTCTTCACTAGAAGACATTCCGGTGGGATTGGGAAGGTCTTCGAAGTATTACGCCCACCGATCCACAATGTCCCAAATAGAGCTCAGCAGCAAACCGTCACCACTGTAAACAGTGTTAGTAGCACACCACTTTCTCCTCCTGAAATGCCAGATGGTGGACCAGAAACTCCTTGAAGCCATATGGAAGTCTTGCTCCATGGTCTCACCGGACTCCACCCACGCCCGGGTTTTTGCCTCCGCGACCACCCGAGCCGCATTTCGCTTGGCCTGCATCAGCTGCCTCTGGAGGCCCACAGGCCAAAAAGACCCGATAGTACTATTTCTTCAACTTGACATCATCCCTAACCGCTGGTATCCACCAGCAGGTTCAAAGGTTGCCACCACGACAGGCACCAGCAACCCTGTAGCTTGCCATAATTCATTCATACATACATTTGAGCGTAATGAGTTGTTAGTAATTGAAAAAGTAGCTTGAAATAAATTTAGAGCAGACTATTTGCCTCCAAATTACCGTTAGCCTTGTTAGATCAATGTTAGCCTCTAGCCTTCATGCTTTATTTGTAAAACAAAAATATGTCATAGATTCTCGGGTAAATTAAATTATTTATGGGCTGCTTATTTTTACTGGCTTCTGTTCTTTTAATAACTCTGGAGCTTTTTGACTGCCAGTGTTGAATCACCAATGTATACGCTAGCGCTTGACACAGACATGGAAACCTCACAGACCCAGATTATAAACAGTGTTTACCTGTTTTAGTTTTATTTATTTTTAATAAAACTGACAAGAAATTTGTTTCAATATAACCTTCCTTCCAACATAATTAAGACGTTACAGTTTTGTGAATATTTCATTGAAAATTCCAACATTTTATTGCTCTACTGTAAGTGGGCTGGGACATTTCTAGCGCACCGTAAGTACTAGTACTTATTTCTTTGCGCTTAAACCACTGGAAAGCACATCTCATAACATCTAAAAAAAACTTGTTCACTTCAGGTGCTTCTGGATTATTTAAAGGCTTCTTCTCTCACCGTATCAAGTCTTATCCTCAGCACCAGTGCTCCACAGGGTCGTGTACCAAGCTCCCTGTTCTTCCTTCTTATTTTCTCCATTGATCAAATTTACAGATGACATCATAATGTATTTTTAAGACTGAGCAGCTGAGTAGTGTAGAAATAACAAACTGACAACTAACATCAGAAGGTGTAAAAAGGACACTCAGCTCCTCTTCAGCACAGGAAATTATTTAGGTTTCAGGTTCCTGGGAGAAGATTTTCTGATCAAGCTACATTTAAGATAGCCAAACTCTGCATTTTTGTACCTGTGGTGCGCTCTCACAGGGGATTGTACGGAGACCCTCCACATAAAAACCTCTCTGCATCTCTTCTCTGACCCTGAGTCCACCTGGAGGACGAGTACCCCGAGACAACAGGTCAACCACCTGGACAGAAGACCAAAAAAAGTAAGAAGCAGTCCAGACACAAGACACTTTACAGAAAGAATAACTGAAATGTCACCTGCTCGTTATAGATTTCCAACATACTGAAAAAGACCTGCGGACAATCAGAGATCAAACAGCTTTCATAACACAGTTGACCTCATAATGACCCTGATTGCTGAGGCCATCAAACTGAGCCTTTTTAAAAACAATTCATCAAAATCCATAACAGAAGACTTGACCAATAAGATGATGAGAGTTCAGTTACGTGGTTTTACCTGGCATTGTCTGTTCTCTTGATTTTCTCTGATAGTTTCAAACAGTCGATCACACAGTTTAGGAACCAGGCCTTTGTTGGGTCCGTAGCCCATCATGGAGTAACTCTTCCCTGATCCGGTCTGGCCATACGCCAACAGCGTAGCATTGTAACCCTGGGCAGTTCAGATCAGTCTCATAATCAGTGTGAACAAATTTATATTTAAGTGTTTTTGGAATGAATTGGAAACCACCTGCAGAGCGTTCTCCAGTATCCCTTCTCCTAGGTCCTGGAACACACTGTTCTGGAGGTAAAATGGCATCTCATGAGCAAATAAAGCAAACTTCTATATAGTTTTTCCACTGCTAACATTTGGGAAGCTGACCTGGTCAGCGTATCGTCCCCCCAGCTCTTCAGCAACATAGAGGCCACTGTGGTCTCTTGCAAAGCAGTTGTGGGACCAGTAGGCATAATCGAAACAGAACGCCCGTCGGTTCTGGCAGTCACGCGGGTCCTGGATGATGATGGAGGTCGATGTCATGGTGATGATACATTGGCTGCCTGCATCCCTCTCTCTCTGTTTGGATGAAGAATTAGCAAACCAAACCAGCAGAAGAGAAAAACATCTGTGAAAAGGATCATTATTCTAGCCTCAAAGTGTTGCTCTAATCAGCTAATAAATCCAAAACACCTGCAGATGGTTCCTGAGCCTTTAGATGGTTTCGCAGTCTAAGCTGAATTACCGACATAAACGGACTTCTATACCACATTGTAATGGAACGGAAAGACAGGTTTTTTTTCCCCTTCTTTGCTCAGGACTAGTCTGCATGAGATAAGTCTCAAGGTCTCATGCATTCCTTCTAACCTGCTTATTTTCAGCTCAACAAAAGAATGAACTCTTTTCTTTGAATTAATCAAAGAACTCTATTTTAATAAAGTTAATCCTTCAAAGTGTTAGTCAATAAACAAGATGTGACCGATCTGTGAAATCAAAATATTACCTTATTATAATCCTATAGAATATAAAGGTACTGTGACTTTAAGGGTTCCAACAGGACTCATTTCACATAGTGTTGAAAAGACATAACACATTACTTTCACTGATCCAATCAGAATCTTACAGATCTGACAGAGGCGTGGTTTTGATGGTGTTTGGTAATTTTTCATTTGACAATAAACCATAACATCCGAAGTATAAAATTATGCCACGTCGTCTCTAACGCCAGTTCAAAGCGTTCCAGAGAAAGTGACGGAGTGGCCAATCCTCTGAAAGAACGACAAGCTGAAAAATTTGTCTCTATTCCAACAGTGGTGACAGTTCCTTTCAGAACAAAAGCTGAACCATCCAGACCCAGGCTTGGGTCTCACCAGACGCCAACAACCCGTCATGTACCCGGAAGTAACTCAAGACTGGTCTTGTCGGAACCGCTGCTTTTCCTACCAGCTCGGCTCCAGAGAGGGTCAAGCTAAGACCTCGACATTCCAGATCTAAAGGGGACTTCCACGATGGGTAGGTAGACCGACATAATGGTGTCTCATGTGTTTCTGAACTTCCTAACCAAAGCTTAATGCGAAAACAACACCTTCAGTTCCCGTCAGAACTAATCGCTTCTTCGGATTTGTTGGTTCTGATTTAACATCACACGTCATCCATCCACCGTCTCATCCATTTTAGTTACACCATACATTTAGTTTTGAAGTCAGTCTAGTTTAATTTGTTAGTAATAAAATTCTTAACTCTTAAACTTGACTCTCTCTCTTCTGTTGTCTCTGAGTGAATATGGAGCGGTTATCTAATCCCTGCAATAAAAAGATCCAAACTTCTGGTTTAAATAACCCAGTGTCCATAAGATACTGGATACGAATCTTTAATGTCTTATGGTCCTCATTAAATAACACGTAATCTAATTCATTACAACATTCATATTTATCGAGTTTCACCTGTATGCTTCTAAACCATGAAATGTGCACTTATAGTTAAAATGTTCACAAATGGCCAAGTTAGTAAATAATCAGACAGTTAACATGAAAACTAATACTAAATATGCTTATAAATAGGATAACATGCCAACTCTGAAGCTCTGGACACACCATGGTTTTGATGAAACCATTTTCAAAAATGAAGGTTTGACAAAGTTCTGATAAAGTTCTAGCCTGTTTTCCCCTCAGCTCCTGCTACAAGGTTTAATCCTCACACCTGTTCTGCATCTCATTAGTCTCCTTCCTGGTTAGTGTCCTTTATGCTGTCTTTTTTAATGATTTCTGTCTTGCAGGAACTTAAATGTCCTTTCTGCATTCAAATCCAAATTTTCACACCAGAAAACGAGAGAAAAGCCATTTCAATATCTGAAAATGATCCCCTAAGCCTCTTTGTTGCCATACCTGATGTGTGAAGCAAACACACCTGATCAAAAGTAAAGGAATGTAAAGGGAAGTGTGAAACGTCACCTCACTGACCTTGATGAAGGGTCTCACTCTGACGGCCACTTTCACACAGTCTTTACCAGGAGCTTCTTTAGCCCTCATGGTGCAGCTGGCAGGTACGGAGCTGCACTGAGTGATCGGCTCAGTCCCACAGAACCAAGGAGCCTGGTCGGGTTACACACACGCGTGCGCGCACACACGAGGCTGATTGAAATTATGATAGTTGATTCTGTTTTAAATTATAACAGGTAAAAGAAATACTGTTAACCTTAATATTAAACATTTATTAAAATTATTTTAAGGGATTTTATGTTCAATCTTTTCTTTTGAGGTATTTTCCCTTCCATGTTATCAGTGAAGAGGAGAAATTCAGATGAGGCTGGTTTCACTTTCACCTCATCAAGCTCCATAAATTATAAAACACACCAGGCACGCGCGCGCACGTACACACACACACAGGTGTTTATACATACAAGTGAATTAACGATAATTACCAAACATTAAAGAATTTTATAGTATTTCTATATTTAACAAAAAGCAATCAATACATTTTAAACCACCAGCTGTTTGTTTTTATACAAGAAAAATAATTTAGATGTTCTTTTAATAAATTACTGCCAAGTTTTTGAATCTTTTTTAATCTCCTGAAATAAAAGTTGCTTAATCACAGATACTTTAAAATATCTATATTTGCTTGAATAATATATTCACCTTGAAGTGTTTTTGACTTTTATTCAAATGTTTTAACCTCTTTGTCATTAATGTTTCTTTAGCTAGTGATAAGGGCTTAAGCTGTTGTCTTTTTGTTACTAAACTTGACTGCTGCCTTTGATACGGTGGACCATGACATTCTGCTGGATCGTTTACATAATTGGGTGGGGGTTGCACGGGTGGCTCTCCAATGGCTGAGAAGACAGGAGGTTCTGTGCAGAGGCGGTTTTACCATTAGGCATAGGTAGGCGGCCGCCTGGGGCCCCCTTGTGTTTGGGGGGCCTCCTAGCCCTGACTGCCGGCACCCCTCTGTTAATGCCACAATACTCTTATTACCAACCTGTCACTGCAGACGGGATTGGACATGCTTCTCATTACCATAATTCCTGAACCGTTCAAGATATCATTAAAATTCCAAAAGTGCTGAAACGATTAAAAATGGGGCTTTTCGTGCATATACAATACATTACGGTAGCCACCGGGATTCCCTGTCTTGAGCGCAAAGAATCACAACACAGATTCAGAGATGTGCTGTTTGTCATCCAAAATGCTCCGTTTTATAACTTTTGAATGGCTAATCAGATTCACAAAATTCCAACAGTTCCTAAAAGTACATAAAAGCAGCTTTCCAATGATCTATAGCATGAAGCAATCAGAGTTATGGAAAATATCGCTAAAAGGGGAAATCCTGCTGTACAGCCTGATTGAAACGGAGCGCCGCGCCGCGGTGAAAGCGGATAACGGAACGGGGAAGCTAATTAGCATAAAAACCAGCATGAAATTATGGAAATGCCTCAAAGAAAATCAACACAATCTATTAGGTGTCCCAGAAGGCTTATAACTGAAGACAGTGACCACAAAGAAGGACAGATCTCCAATGAACCAGGATATGAACGTTAATTCAGTCTTTATTTTTTTATTTGAACAACCCTCAACTATTTGCTAATTGTAAGATTTAGCTTCATTCCAGCATTATTTACAGTTTTACAATAAATAATTATATTTGCTAAAACAAAAGTTTTTTGTATAGCAGTGCACGGTGTGCAAGAGAAGCATCCCATGGCGGTGTGAGGTGTGTAGGACTCTGCCTGCAGCTGAAGAGAAACTGCTTCAAGGCCTACCACATCAAATAAAAACGTCTGAAAGTTTACAAAAATAAAGTCTTAAAAACTGCTAAAAAAAGATACCAAGGTTCAAACTTTTTTAAGAATAGATGCATTACAGATAAAAGTTTAAATTGGTCATTCCAAATTGTTCACCCAGCCATTTTGAAGTTCACGTTCAGTAATAAATGTACAAAAAAAATTCTAATCCATTTTTTGCTTTTGTTACTTTTAAGATGATTTTTTAAAGGCTTTAATAGAAATAAATTCTAAATACAAACCATACACTGAAAGCTGAGGTTGTTCTGAAAAATGGAGAAGAGTTACACACACTTAGCACTTTTTATTACAATTTTACAGCCATAAGATAAAAAAAAAATACCAGGCGGCCCTGTTATAACTATGGTCATAAGAGGGTTATTAAGACGGCGATGCACAAACAGGAAGTGATGGGGGGGGGGGGGGGGGGCTTGTACACCTACAATTACAGCCGTGTGTGACTAGAACCTTTCCAGACTGTAAAAATGTTAGAAAATGTTTAAAAGCTGTGACTGACTGACACACACACTGACACACACACACCTCTGACACCATCAAACCCAAGCTTTAAAGGTTTCCATATTTATCAAATGTCAGTCATAAAAATAAGACATTCTACATACATTCATCAGAAAATAGTCTGCATCCAGATGGTTATTACCATCAATTCAATTAACAATCTTATTAACATTTCCCAAATTACAGTTCACATCGACTTATCGATGAGCGATTATTTTTATAGGAGGTTCTCTGCAGCAGAGACATTTTCACACACAGAATGAACGTTTAAGACTAAAGCAAAAGGCAATCGGTCAGATAAGACGGTCGGTTGCACCCAAGAAACTCTTAAATTCAAAATAAACATAATTCTTGAGGATTTCTTTATTAACTTTATTTGGAACATTGCAAATGACTATTTACAAATCTAGCAGTAGAAATTAACCTCCACTAGTCGGCTGCTTTATTTTCCCTCTTAAATAGAAAAAAACCCAGCAGGCCTTGAATTATTAAAACTGCAACATCAACAACAAAACCCTAGAGTATAAATGATGAGGCAGATGCAGTCCAGCCTCTAAAAACACACTGGTTGGTTGTTTTATTACTTCCTGTGATCAGAAATCCAGCTGAAGAGTGACATGAAGTTGGTTTGAGAAGGAAAAGTAAACTCCAAAAATAAAGCCTTTATCACACGACCCCCCCCCCCCCCCCCCCACCCGTGAGTGTTTAGTCTCAAAAATATATATTATTTCAGCTACAGGGTGTTTATTTTAAATTTGGCAGGGAAGTTAAGTGATGATGCGTCTGAAGAAGCAGAACCATCATGAGTTCAGGCATCGGTTTGAGTCAAAACAGCTCATAACTGGTTTGGTTTTAGTCTTCAGGCGGCATGCTGAGGTTCACTGGTTGCAAACACCACTGCCCTCCTCACAGCTTCCTTCTGCGGGTGATGGGTTTTTTAAAAACGGTGTCCAAAACGCGTTTGTTTCGAAGGTTCCTGCTGGTGGTCGGGGCCTCTCCTCCTTTAATCCTCTTGACAGCTTGTGGGAGCGGATCAGGACTGGGCATCGGGGAGATCACATCCACCTCTGCTACGGGGAGTGGTTCAGGAACAGACCTGGATCTGAAGATAAAAAACAAAGTTCTCCTTGAACTCCAGTTTAACCTCTTAGCCAATTTCACAAGACACACCGCGCCAGCTAATTAGCATAATACTGCTGTGTCTTATGAAAGCGCTGTGGCAGCACGGCGATGGGGCAACTTTGCGCCTTTCATGCCGCCAAGCTTGGTAATAATATTACCGCAACACCAGACCTGTGCATGACGATTACACCTTGGCTCAACAGAGGGTGGTGTCATGATCCTGTGTGAAATTACTACCGAGCTCCAGCCGGCAAATATATTGAAAAGGAAAGTAAACATGGGCACAAGTTTTGTTTTTGTAAACATAATCAGCCGAGATGGTAAACTGGAGCGATGCTGAGCACCGGGAGCTTCTCTCCATTAAAGCTGGAGCTCAGATCCCCACAGTTCACGGGGACTGTGGAGGACTGACACCTTTAGCAGCAGCTCGTGAAAAAAAAAAGAGCACATTTTTTTATCGCAGTAAAAAGCGATGGCAAATTGGCAGCATTGTTTTTATGGAAGACGCTCTTGAGACCTGAGATGTTATTTGGTGTGGAGTTTAAATTTCATCAAGTTATTCTGGGTTTGTAGGAATCAGAAATATAAAAAAAACAAACTGTATTAATTCATAAATACATGAAAATGTCAAAATAAATTATTCTAAATCTAACGGATTCACCGAAGATTGGTGTAGGAGACTATTTTCATTTTTAAACTGCATGAAAAACCCCAATTATATTTTTTCAGTGATTCACACCTTTACCTCATTCACTGCCATTGATGAGAAAAGTCGTCATTTTAGATCCAACCGTTCACTGCCGATGATGACTACATTTGTCATTTGCATTTTTTTTTACTGTGTGGGCGTCGGAACGAGACGCCGCACCGTGTGAACAAACATCCCAGCTCTAAAGCCGATCTTCATCTGCCTACGCCACAGGTCATGTGATCAGGAAGCAGAAAATCCATGTGTTAGGAGATTGTTTTGGGCCGCTGCTGTAAAAAAAGTAAGGCGTTAACCGGAAGACGACATCCTAGCGCGCAATGTTCTGTGACTCTTAAAACGACCGTAAAAAGGTGAAAAACACTAGCAGCTAAGGGCTTTACTGATCAGGAAACGGCTGGCAGTGAATGAGTTTAACAAACTAGATGAGACAATAATTCTAAAATGATCTTACCTGACCGCTCGTCTGCTTGTTCCTCTGGTTTTAGTTGCATTTCTGGCTTTCTTCACTTCTTTGTGATCCTCGTCTGAAGCGGTTTTATCCTGCAGGATGACAGGTCTGATTTAACCCCTCATCTATTTAGACTTTACTCTGAAAATCCTGAAGTATGCAGATTTAAATTAAAACATAAATGACAATTCTTAAATGGTTGAAACAGGAGACGAAAATTTAAAACTTTGTGTTTTTTAAACCTCCTACATGGAATAATTTAAAGTTCCTGTTCCTTTAAAGTTCAATTTAGAAAGCAAACAGTAATAAATACACAACATGGTTTAGTAGAACTAAGATCACACTCCTAGTAAAAACATCTTCCACTAAAGCGATACTTTATGAATCAGAGACGAACGTCCAGCAGCGAGAGCTCTCACCTGAGGGTGTTTCCCTCTCATCCTGCTTCGTGTCACCGGTGCTGCAGACTCGGCTCTAGGGGCTGAAACACGGAACGTTAAAGGATTTAACTCATCGGGGAACAGTCAGGAGAACCTCAACATCAGAGCTTAGCTCACCTCCTCCTCTTATCCGTGAAGGGGAGTAGATGTATGAAACCTCGTCTGTAAGAAACTCCTGCTCCTCCTGAGCTCCACCTACGGGAGGCTGAGATGATTTTGTTCTGCTCCTGGTTCGGCCTGCTGTTGCTGATGTTGTGACATCTCCACCTGTAATTAAAACACCCACATAGGTTTTAACTTGGTTTAAATCCAAAAGAGTTTTGGTTTCTGTGCAGCACATTGTTCGTACCCTTCTGCCTCTCCTCCTCATCCTGAAGTCTCCTGATGAGGGCGTCTGCGACAGGAGTTTCAGAATCCACCTCTAAGGGTGAGTCCAGTAGGGGCAGATCTTCCTCTGGGTGGTGCCAAAGTTTGCTTCTAGTTGTGCAACGGGATTTTGTCTGACTTGTGTTTTTGTTTCGCTCCTGCTGGAGAAGATCGTCGCTTTCTTGGATGTTTTCAGCGACGCTTTCTCTTTTCATCTTCCTGTTGCTCTGAGGGCGGGATACAGGAACCAGCGTCACCTGGAAGTTTCAGATTTACATGGAGGGAATGAGGCATACGTGAGAATCAGGAGTAAGATCTCTGAATGAATCAGACTCAATCGTCTAAATGAAAAGTGGGAACCAGGTGATCTAGACACTTTTACAGCCTTACTTGTGGAAACATATTCAGGGTGATCTGGCCGGACTGTCGAGTCGTCCTCCCACGGCTGGAAAGGTGCCGTTTCCTGTCCTCCTCTACAGCTGTTGGCGTCTCTGACTTTGTCCTTCTGGAGTTGCGTCCAGTAGGTGAGACATCATGCTCTTCCTCCTCTTTGACCATCTTGAGTGGCGTTGGCGCCGTCTCACTGCTGGTCGTCGTCGTCCTTCTGCTGGATCTCCTGGGAGTGTCGACTTCCACCGTCCTGGATCTGGACAGGTTCGGAGTTTTGGAGCCGCGACTTACTGCTTTTTCTACAACGGCGTTCTGTTGGTCCTCCTTGCCTTCGGTTTCTGCCCCCTCAGGCTTCTTGCTGCTGCTACCTAGAAGTCTTTTGCTCGTCCGCGTCACAGCAGACTTTTGTGAAAGTCTGGCTGGAGAAGAAGTCCTGGAGGCTGAAGTAACTAAAATGCTACGATCCTTCGCTTCCATCTCATCTTCAGGAACCTCTGGCAGAGTTTTACGTGTGCTTCTTCGGGGTGTGCTCAACTGGACTGTGGTTTCTTTAACTTGTTCACTTTTTCTGAGGGAACGACTGGTGGAGACAGGGACCTGACTGTCTTTTTCACCCTCCTCTTCTTCAACTAGAGTGGAGATGAAGCTAACGGACCTTCCTCTAGTTACTCTTCGTGTTGGTGCAGAAAGAGCGCTCTTCCTCTGAGAGGTGGGAGTCTGAGGCACCCGTTTGTGCGTCTGGTTTTCTGGGATCAAAACTGGCTCCACAGATTTCTCTTCCACACTTTTATTCCTGGTTCTTCTACTAGATCTTTGCTCCGTCTTCTCCTCTGCTTTGGTATCGGCTTTAGCTTTAGGATTTTGTTCCTCCTCCTCCTCCTCTACAACAGCCTCCACCGTTTCCATCTCTGTGTCAACGCCAACAGGACCGTTCTCTGATTTCTGCTCCTCTTCAGTGGGTTTGTTCGCCTCTCTCTCCTCCCTATCAACAGGCACCATCTTCTCCACAAAGTCAACATCGTCCACAGCTGCTGGAAGCTCCTCTTCTGCTGCAGGAACTGGAACAGATGCAGATTCATGATCTTCAGGCAGCATCACTAACTGCAGCTTTTTTGGTCCTCCAGCATCTTCGGTCTCCAGCGTAGCTGCAGTGTCTTGAGCCCAGGAGTCGTTTTGGAGTTCAACAAGCTCCTCTTCCCTCAGTCCACCAAGATCATTTCCATCCATCTGCTCCTTTTGGTCCTGTGATGCTTCAGCAAACACGGAAGGATCCGTGCTATCTGTGGCCAAAGAAATGACATCAGGCTTGGTCAGAACCTCTTCTTCGTTGTTCTCTGTGTGAAGCTGGTTGGGAGGGTCGTTCTCTATGGGCAGCATGCCCACCTCTTTAACCCCGTATTCATCCACATCCAGCATCAATGTGAAGCTGCTGTGAGCGTTGGATGGTGGCTCGTCGGTCTCATCCGGCTGAAGCTCCGGTAGGCTCATCGGAGCGCCGTGTGCCAGGCTGTGCTGACCTTCCACCAGCTCTAAGGGCACCAGCAGCGTGGTAGGTTTGAGCTCCATGTAGGACGATCCCTGTTCTGGATCTGGATTTATGTGCTCATCATCATCGTCATCATCAGCACCGAGCCTCACCATCACAACTTCACCCTCCATGTCGTCTTCTACCATCTGTATGAAGACAGAAGCACATTCCTAAATGTAACAGCACCACAGTCTGCTAATTACTTCTATGATTAAATCTGACTAATCACATAAGATTACCCTAAACGAACTAGTTAAGAACCAAACTGTGACAGGCCTGCAGCCCGTACCTTCATCTGTGCTCCAGCTGTGATCAGAGACAGCTCAGCAACTTCCTGCTCTGACAGGAAGTGAGTGTGTTCCTGCTCCACAAAAGCAGAGGTGGCCAAGAGTGGGGGCAGCCTCCCATTGCCCTGGACCTCCTCAATGATCTCCACCTCACTACCAGAGTCTTCTTCCTCCTCGCCTCCTTCTTCCACCTCAGCTTGATCAGATGAGTCCTCCTCAGCAATATCTCCATCATCATCATCTTCATCATCATCTTCTTCCTCCTCTTCTGACGCAGGACTGGACAGATCTTCGCTATCGTTGACGCTAACAACAGCTAAAAACAGAATGGTAAAGTTTCAGGAAAAAGCCCAATCTACTGTGTGTGTGTGTGTGTGTGTGTGTGTGTGTATTCCTCACAGTGGGAATCAGTCCCTGTTGGCTCTGAGGATGTCACAGATTTCTGGGTGGAGAACACCAAGACATCTTCTGCTGGAGCCCCGTCCTCCTCGTCTGCCTCTCCCACTGATTCGCTGTATAAGAGAACACTTACATCATTTTTAACTCGTCAAAAACAAAAACGCTTTAAATATTTACGCATTCCAGACTAAAATCTACTGATTTTTCTTGCAATTTCTGAAAACTAAATGTAAAATTGAGGCTGCACTTATTACAGTTCCTGGTTTTGTTTTGTGTTTATTTTCTCCATCACAGAGTTTGAAGCAGTAATGTCCAGCCCTGGTCCTCTCGGGCAGTGGTTCCCAACCTTTTCTGTCTCGTGGACCCCCTGAGTTGTTTTCTCGTACCACGAGTACCCCTTAGTCAAGTGTGTTGATGGTTCCCCAAAAGTAGAACGTGATCATTAAATGAAAATAGTTTCATTAAATCTCCTTCGCGTAATCCTTCATTTAATCCTCCTTCCTTTGTATGTTGTATGTTGAGTGGTTGTATGTAACATACAACATACAAACATTTTGAGCCCTGACGAAGGCCCTGTGGGCTGAAACGCGTCGGCATTTATGTTTTTAACTATTTGAGCCATGTACTAATAAAGGCTTTTTATTTTTGTATCTCCTGAGTGCCTCAGATCTCCTTTAGCCAACATTTATGTGGATCCCTTGGCTGAAGAGCACCAGTGAGAGCACCAGATAAAATTTCTTACACCCCTGCAGCACTTCCAGCATTTTTCCTATTATCATTTTCAAACTGTCTGCATTTTGGTTATAACCAATTATCGTTTTAGTCCACACCTGTTTAAGGTAGTCCTGGACAGAGATGCATGATGGATCCCTGAGCGGCTGAGCGGAGGAGACAGATCACCGCCAAACAGGTGCTGATGCACAAACTCTGTCAGATCTGAAATCAAACAAATGGTCAGCTTCAGATCCAGATTAAGTGCTAAAACGGTTGTTAGCTAGGGTCAGTGTTAGTACGCAAGTTCCTGATTCACACCTGACGCAAGGGAATTACATTTTTGAGAATTTAAAACCATGCAGCACTGTGATGCCCCCACCTGCTGATGGATTCGGATCTCCTGCTGGATCGTTTGTGGTTTCCAGTACTTCAGATGGTTTTGTCTGTTGGGAGCTGAGCTCAGGGGGTCCTGCAGCCTCCAACTTGACATTGGGGCCTTCATCTTTCAAAGGAACATCCTCAGATTTGTCTTCTGAGCTCTCAGTTACCTGGTTACCAACAGCTGGAGTAAAAGACATGTCAAAGTGAATGCTTGCAAAGTCCCAATAAGACAAATATTTTAGTATTGTATTTGTTTTATCATAAACGATAAAAATAACCCACCTTCGTGGTCCACAGATGGTTCTTCCTGGTTAACAGTTGCAACATCTTGTTTGCAGATTGATATGAAATTCAGATCCTCCTCCTGCTTAGACTCTACTTCCTCCCGATTTAAATCGCTCCTCATCACGTCCTCTGAGGGCTCGCCCTCCTTCTCCTCATCCTCTGATGGGAGGCGAAGGCTTTGTTCAACATTTGCTCCTGGATTTTCTTCTGGTTTCGTTTCAGTCAGACGCTTGATATTAATTGTGACCACACCATCATCGTCACCGCTGTCTTCTCTGTGGTCTTCTGAGAGAGGAGCGTCGTAGAACTCTAGGGTGGTGTCTGTGGACCGAATGGAGACCTGGCTAGAGTCAAAGCTCAGATTGAGATGTGCCCGTGCTGCATCTGCAGCAACTTCCTGGTTCCTCTCAGAGCATCTGCGCTCCGATGAGGGAACTCCACGGTCTGGAGACAAGAACTTCACTTGAGGAAGTTGCTCTTCATCTCTACCATCTTCTTCCTCAGCTGGCTGTGAAGACCAGGTCTTATGCGTAGCCTTGGATAATGTGGAGCCTCTACTCAGCTGGCTAATCTCACTCTCTGCTGCCACCTTCAGATTAAAACAAACACAATTTGAGATTTAAAGATGGAAGGTATCCTGTTTACTAAAACATCTCATCATGGGCTGGGTCTTACCCCATTAGTCCATCGATTACCCTTCTCCACTTCAGGGGCCTCCGTGTCTTCAGTGAAAGTGATCCGAGTCTCTTTGCTGCGGAGTGGGGGGGTGATGGAGTGCCCTGGGGAGGCAGAAGGTGTAGCGACAGGCGTGGGTCTCAGGCTGCTGCGCAGGATGGACTGAGGAGTGAAAGCTGAAAAGACAGGACCGGAAGCAGCCACAGCTCGAGCTCGCTGGGAGGGAAAAACAAAACTATAAGTACCTGCGAGCTTCGAAGCCTTCATCAGACACGTCATAGTTGCATACTCACTTTGACAACCTGTGGCGTCTGCAGCAATCTGAGTTCAGGAGCTTTGTTAAAGCTCTTTGGGGAAATCCAGGAGCTGGAAGGTCTGAGTGGAAGCTGAGGAGACTGGGAGGAAGGGTGAACCATCAAGTCCACCAGCCTGAGTCACATCAAACAGGAAGAAGCAAAAGCTTTATTTAGACAGGGTGAATTAGCATAACAAAACATTATCAATCAAAACGTATCGATAGCAGTCAGTACGGGGGTTCTCTTCTAGATCAGTGGGAATTAAAACAATCAATTATGAGATGTTAAGATTTTCTGAGTTACCTTGGCTTCCGTTTGGAGGCGATGCTGATGGGAGTTCCCAGGAAGGCATCAGGTAAAAACTGGGCGGGCGTCTTAGGACTGGAGCTTTGAGAATCGACGGCCCTTCTGCTGTAAAAAAACAAAATGAAAGAAATTAGAATAACAACTATTATCCTGGAGGTTATCTCCGTGAGACTAAGTCTTACCTCTTGACCGGTGAGGGTTGTGGCGTAGCCCCTTTGCCAAGCCACACCTCCTCCACCTTGGTGAGAACACTGTGGATGAATCCGGCTCTGGTCATCACCTTCTCATTGGCAGAGCGCTTGGTGATGGTGGACAGCGGCTGGGGCTGAGAAACTGGAAGGAATAAAATCACAGCTAGAAATCTGACAATATTTACCCAGGTTTCGTTTTGACGCTCGTTAAAGAGCACGGCTGTGAAAATGAGTTAGTGTAGCTCTGAACCTTCTCTGTGGGTGGTGTAGGGGTGCTGGTAGGGCTTGGATCTCTCCATCGCCAGTTTTCTCTGCACTCTAGGTAAAACTTTGCCATACTGATCCAATATGGAGTTTCTGGTGTTGGATCGTTCTTTAAGCTTCGGGTCTCTTTCATTCTGGAAATAATAATAATAAAAAAACAGTTCTGAAAGGTAAACCAGGGAAGATCAGTTTAAAACTGGCTAGAACAAATCTATGCTAGTGATTTTGAATAAACCCGTTGTGTTTATTTGTCCGTACATACCACCAGGTTTAGTTTGAGGCTGTTGTTGAGCTGTAGAGCAGGGATGTAGTTGGCTTGCTGAAGGTAATGAACCAATAGTAGCTCTCTGTTCTGCAAACCTCCGGTGCCTTGGAGAAACTTCTCTAAACATTCCTGAAAACAACAGGTTAGAAATCAAATACCTACTAAAGGATTCTCCTAAACAACACAGCAGTAATCTCCCAGTCGAAACCCGTCTACCTGTTCGTTGAGGCTCAGAGGCAGTTTGAGCAGCTCTTTGATGAGGCCCAGCTCCTGACAGCTCTCATAAAAGAAGCTCAACAACTCGGCGATGTTGAGATGATTGGAATGCTGCCGAAGTAAGCTCCACGCTTCGATGAGACACCTGGAAGAAGAGTACACTGGAATGAAGCTGATGCTGGTGCACGAAGAAGCTCTCTCCTTCTGAACTCACCTGTTGTGTAGCAGCACAGACAGGCAGAGTTTGGCCTGGGGGGTGGAGGCGAGCGGGGGGTTTGTAACGTGGAAGTATCGAAGAGCCACAGACTGTTGGCCCTGGCACATCAGCGCCTGCAAAACGCGCTCGTGCTGCCACTCAAAATAAAACTGAGAAGCTGCAGGATGCAAGAGGAGCTCAAAAGAGCTCTGAGAAGACAAAAAAGAATATTCAATTAGAGACGATGTAGAACTATGAGAACAAACAAATATCACAGAATGCATAAAAGCACAATTTGTTGTTGGTCCAGAACTCTGCAGCGAGGCTCCTAACTGGAGCAAACAGAAGAGCACACATCACTCCTATTCTAATGTCTCTGCACTGGTTACCCGTTAAACTTAGAGTTCATTTTAGAATCCTGACTAGAACTTCCAATGCTCTACATGGTCAAGCTCCTCCCTATATTACTGAACTGTTAAAGCCTTATGCTCCACCCTGAGCCCTCAGGTCCACACACCAGAACCTTCTAGAAGTTCCAAAGACCAGATACAAAAGTTGAGGTGATCGCTCCTTCCAGACTGTTGCACCCCGACTCTGGAATGATCTTTTATCCTTATGCAGCTTTGACAGTCTGGACACCTTTAAAAAACAGCTAAAAACCCTTTTATTTAAAGCTGCTTTTAACTAAATCTTTTATTTTCTTATTTTTAACTGAAATTTTTAATCTTTCATCTGTTTACGAATATTTATAATTTTAAGACCATTTTTTCTGATGTTAATCTATTTATGATTTTATGACTGTTTTATTTTGATCTATGTGAAGTACTTTGTGATTCAAATCTGTGATAAGTGCTATATAAATAAAATTTACTTACGTTTGTGTCGGTTTATTTGTTGCAGTGAGATAAATAAACGACAGACATGATTCATGTTTCTGTTCATACCTGATGATCATGATGATCCAGCAGCCAGAGGCCCTGCACCAGCTTGACCAGTCCAATGGGGATGGCAAAAGCTGTGGGAAAAGACTCCACTGATGCTCCATCTTTATTAGGGAAGGAGTACATGACATCCAACAACAGGTAAATCACCTGGAACCACGAGTCAAGGATCTAATCACAGATTCACATTTTTGAGTTATAATCATATTTATCACTATCGTTAGTGAGCTTAAGGATACAATTGCATGTTTAGCAGCTTCATCAATGTTCTCCAGTAGGTAAATATCAAGCAGGGCCTGTAGATCAGAGACACACATTAAACAGGAAAAGACGTTTTTAAACTAATGAATGCAAATCCATGTCTGCTTTATCCGTACGTGCAGCGTGGGTGGTGGGTACTGCCCTGTTCCACCCTCGTCCCTTTTCCACACATTGACCAAATGATCCCCGCACTGGCCGACCAAACCGTCGATCATGAGGCAGTCTGCACACCACTTACCCCTGAGGAGGTGACAGAATATCAACTTTGGGTCTGAAACGGGTTCATGTGAGGATAAATTCTGCTCTTACTTGGCCAGCCTGGTCAGCTCCTCTCTCCGTATGGTGTAATAGTTACTGATGACTGAGTGAGAATAAAAAGGTCTGGAAATCTGGAGTGCATCTTCATCTGATAGGAGGAGAAACACAAGGATGATCTACGCTTTGACGAGTTACCATCAGCAGAATGACAGAGTCAGGGTCCAGAAGTTTACCTGGTCCCTCTGGGAGCAGACCGGTACGGCAAAACCAGAGAACCACCTGAGCATACTTGGAAATCAGACTGGACACAATGTTTTTGTTCATCAGACCCACCAGACCTGCAGAACAAGACGAAGAACCCACAACTTCTTGATATGAAGGATCTTTATTACATGATGGCTAACAAAAAAGGTCTTAGATGAGAAACCATAAAAATATATATTTTTTAAAACATGAGCATGTTTTTGCATCTGTGTGAGACCTTTTTGTGTCAGCTCCTGAGCTTCACTGAGCAGACAGTGGAAGATGGCACTGAGGTTACCGAGGAGCCTCTGACTGTGCTGAAGCAGCTGCAGCGTCTGAGGGTCTGTGAAGTTGGAGGAGCTGTCGAACAGCGGCGCACCTGGAGGTCCAACCGCAACACAAACAGAGACAAAGATGGATGTTGTAATTGTTTTAGATCGAGTTTAATAGTCGTGTCAAGTTGACCTCACAAAACAGGGTAATGCAAACACATCTGACCTGTGTTCAGAGCAACACACACACACACACACACACACACACACACACACACACACACACACACACACACACACACACACACACACACACACACACACACAGCTGTCCAGCAAAAGAAAATTCCTAAACAGTTATCATTTAATCATCTTAGACAATGACCTTAAGCTCTAGGACAGCCAATGAAACTTGATATGAGAGAATGAAAACATACAGATTCCATCCAGCTCCTCTTTGGTCTGGACCACTTTGTTCCAAGCCCAGTCCAGGATGTAGCGCAGGTTCAGGGCTGAGCCAGGCTGCTCTGTTCAAGAGAACAAGAGCAGAAAAGTTTAAGACACATTCTGGACAATGTGCATGCATAAAATAGTTTTAAAGGTTTAAAAATGAAAATGCAATCTTCACTACATAATAAAGAGGGGAGTCCTTACCTTCTGCAGTCCACTGTTTGATACAACCAGTGATTAAACCTAAAGAACTGGTCTCCACAGCTGTAGACAAGATGGCATCAAGCTGCTCCTCCTAAAATCCAAAAGTGAATATTATAAATAAACAAATACCAACTCTGAAGGTTCATGTTTTTTTTTTTTTTTGCTGCTTCAGTCATTAAACAATGGGGCATTCTGACAGCTTGTTCTTATAGCTAAAGATTCCCACACCAATAAAAAAAAACCCATTGTTATTATCTTATTACTAATAGAATCATTGCTCTTATTGATTATATGATCATTATAATGACATCTACCAAAGAGAGGCTGGAGGCCTGAGTATCAGTCAGGCGGGACGACAGCAGCCCCGACATGAGGCAGTGAGAGTAGCTAGTGGAGATGACATCACTGGAGCAAGGAGCAGCCTTCTTCAGAAAACTTAAGGTCTGGTTTTAATGACAAAGAATGTCAGAGAAACAAACAGATTAAACATCTTGTTTAAAAACACAAAGTATAGCCCTTTTACTTTAGGAGTTACAGACAGATCGATTCGTTACAATGAATAAACACCAGAAACTTGCCTCTTTTTGATGCCCAGAGCAGGTTAGATGCACAATTCCAGAGTTGAGCAAACACGTAGCATCTGAATCATGACAGGAAAACACAGTCGGCATAATTTAATATCTTAACTGTACGGTAAAGAGAGGCAGACTACAGAGACGAAGAGAAAGAAAAGCCAACCGAAGTTATAGGTGGTTGGATTAAAGTACTGCTCGGGTGGGGGGCAGGTGAAGGGTAGCCCTCTGCTCAGGCTGCGCTCGTGGACGACCACATCGAGGAGAGAGTGGGGAGAAACCATCTGCACCACTGGGTCCAGTGACCAAACAGCCAGGTAGGGACAGTTCTGCAGAGACTCCCCAGCTCTGACCAAAAAAATAAAACACACCTGTCAAAATAAAAGCATTTCCTAAAACAAAAAACAGAAAATCAAAAAAAAAAAATAAGTACCTTAAAGAGTCCGGCATCTGTGCATGGTACCAGCGGTTGATGTCAAAAACCCCAATAAATGTCGACGGTGCTCCCTGACCGTAAGACCTGACTTGCCAGCTGAAAATGGACAAACTGGTATCTGGGGATGCAACTGGAAACGCAACGTGGTGAAGAAGAAAAGAACATGAGTGATTGTGGGTCTGATGAGAGTAAAAGTCAGACTACAACACATCACAGGTTCTCTAAAGCAACTGAATTTATTTCCTATAAAAGCACTGATTTGACAAATTAAGCTCCTTTCCAGAGGAAAGGTCAGAGGGCAACTCACCTTCATTCATACTGTCGTCCCTGTCAGGATGGGGCCGAAATTTCTCAATCGTCTGGCAGCTCAGCAGCCATGTTTTTGAGGCCTGGGCTCTCAGAGGGAACGTTGTGCCACTTAAATCCTGGCTGTAGCGTTCCTCGCAGTATTCCAGACCCTGAGGAAATACAACCTGTTCTGTTAGTTATAATTAAATAAAACAGAGTAAATAATAGATGCTAATATTAGTGTGAACAACAGACCTCATAGAGGATCTTGCCAGAAGCCAGACATTTTCTTTCACTGAAAGCCAGCTGCAGCAAGTGGAGGCTGACTGTGTCTCCCTCGCTGTGTGGGAGACAAAAGGACACGGAGTCAAAAATAAAAGCTTGTGGGGGGGGGGGGAAGCAGATATGCAACTCTCACTTTGTCTGACAAACAGAAATGGGAAAGATGAGTTCCAGGTCAAACTTACAGGTCCTGAGCGGACTGGACAGCCCAGAGGTAGCAGCAGTTCCTGGGGTCATTCTCTGGTTCCTGGAAGGTGAAGGCATGCACCGGCACCCCACCACCATCCAGCTGTGAGTGGTATCTAAGAACAAACAAATCTGGTTGTTTCCTGATATGAGCTTCTTAGCTTCATCTGACCCATGTAGCGTACCAAATGGCCAAGTATTTCATCAAAATGGCCAGAAGTTAACTTTAAACTTACAGGTCAAACTTCTTCATACAGGTCAATCTGACACCGTGGTGCTGATATGACGCCTATGAACTTGCCCCGATATTCTTAACTTATCCTGTGGTGTGCCAGAACATCATCAAGGCTGCAAAACACGAAGGACCCCTCATCTATCCTCTTTGAATAAAGTTTATCTTCCCAGGTTCATAAATGACTATATAGTTTTATAAGTTATATAATCCTATTTTGTTCAATGAACAACGTGTTTAAATCCAAAGTGTTTTACTAATCTTGTCAAACCATCACTCATCATAATTTGTTCAGTGTCATCATTAGTTTAAAAATTTTAAATTAAGTTCATTTGTATAAACTATATCCTAGACTGACGGCTGGAAGAAGTTCTAGGGGAAACACTGACGCTACACCCATTTCCAACATCTACATCCACAGGATCTAAAACATAGATGTGCAGATAGAAATGTGTTTTTTTCTAAGAAGACTCACTCTTTCTTTAGAGCCTTCATGTTCCACAGCTGTAGATGCCCATCAGAAAATCCTACAGCCAGCAGATTGGTCCTAGAGGTGTACTGTAGAGCAGTGACACCGACTCCGCTGGGCCGGTTCAGCTGTAGACAAAGATGTCTGCCCTCTCTGGTGCTGACCTCCCTCAGCCCGGGGATGTCTGCAGGAGATTTAGTCACCACCTGCAGGTCTGCAAAACATTAACACCTGTTAGCGTTTCACTTAATACAATGAGATCACGTTGAACAGAAATCTTACAGAATTTTATGTTCTCATGTATGTTGTTGGAAAAACAGAAGCTATTATTTTACTTCTCAAAGCACTCAAGACCTTTAGTGCCTCAACTTCTAAACAAACACAAACAACAGGTTATGTTAGATTTAATTAGAAAAGAGTACCGATAACGTGGATTGTTCTCGGACTGAAAAAATCCTGAGCCTAATCTTTACTTCATATAAACCAACTCTGGAGGTTCACGTTTATTTTTGCTGCTTTAGTCATTAACTAATGGGGCATTCTGACAACTTGTGTAAGTGTTAAAGGACTTGGGTGAAAATCAGCTGACATTTCTATTTGCAAATATGCAGAAATACTGACATTTTTCACTGATTTTAGACACGGTTACATCTAAAATTGATCCATAATGCAGCAGAACATTGCCACCAAAATGCATTACATGCATAATAGAAACAACAGGCTTAATAATAATATTTATTATTGCTCAGAAGATAAAAAAAATCACACACACTCACTCGGGACAAGTTAGGGATGCCAATAAACCTAGCATGCAGGTTATGGGGTGTGGGACAAAACCCAGAAGGAGAAAAGAATACAGGCCTGACTTTTCACACACACCCCATCCACACACACACACACACACACCACTCAAAGTAGTATCCTCTTCTCACCTGAAGCCTCCAGTTCACTTTGGCTGCAGGACAGATCATCGAGACAGAGGTCCACGAGCAGGACATGACCTAGATCTGTTACTACAGCAGCGATTCCAAAGAACCAGCGCAGACTCTGGTGGAGGTGCTGTGTGGAGGTGCTCGCTCCACCATAACTCACAAGGGGCTCAATAGCTGTGATCTAGATGATCATAAAAGGAAACACGATGAAAAGTAAATACTAAGTGTCAGATTAATCTCTTACTGTACAATAAAGTATACCAAATGTGTTTTTTTTTGTAAAATAAAAATAAATACCTGAGACCGAAAGATTATACTTCTATAACCCAGAAGTTATAAAATATCCATCTTGGTGAACAAACGAATAGAACAAGGGTGTGTCCAAATTCTGTTGCAGCATTCCAGTCCACGTAGGTCAGGTCCTAACTTGACCTCTAAGACCAGACGTTTGGATGGTCTAGCGTTATTTATTTCCACCCTTACCTCAGCATATGTCCTCCTGTCACCTAGCAACCATAGCAGCACTTAACAGGAGTTAAAACTAAGGCCCACATGTAGATGAGTATCTCGCAAAACGGAGACATTTTTCTAGTTAGGCCTGTCATCCACACGAAAGTAAAGATAAATGAAGCCAAAAACGGTTCTTTCAAAAACTCTGGCCAAAGTGGAGATTTATAAATTCTCCGCTGATGCATTTGCTTGTGGGCGTAAATAACCGGGGCTTTCGATTTGCCAGTGACAAAAATGCTCTTGTGTTACACGTGTGACCCGTTTACACTTGCTTGTTTTTTACATGTTCAAAAACAGCTTCTTGTATAACACTAAAGGCAACGGAGGAAGTTGAGTTTCATTACTATTACCTAGTTATTCCCAGGGATTGTTTCTCAGCAAATACGCCAACAATTCAGGGAACTACTGCCACCTACGGGTTTAGCATGCCTATGAATGAACTGGGCATTTTCCTAGATGGGCGGGGGAGATATTGGTTTTGAAAAACCAAACCTGTGTGTACATGGCCTTAACTTAGCGGCACTACATGAAATACAGGATTTAAATATATATGATGAAAAAATGAACAGAAGAAATATGCAAATGAAAAGAAGCTGAACACCACAACCATGTTCAGCTTTTAATTATCTTTACAACCAAAGTTTAATATACTAACATTTAAAATGCTAATCCTCCCCCACTTCGTCCGTCATTGTTAAAAAAAAAAAACTTCCAGTTCAGCCCACAATGGATGCTGGGATAGCTTTTGCTAATAAGGAAACACCAGACCTGCACCGGACTCATTTAAGTATTCTTTAAATTTGGACCCACTTGTCGCTTCACTCTGACGTACTTTGAAGCTGCTGTCCATCGAAAGGCGAACATAAACATGCGTGCCGTTTGTGGTAGCTGAGGAATAAAAAATTATGACTGAAAAGCAGTCTCACCCTGCCAGGTATAACCACAGCTTTAACCACTCGAGACAGTCCCAGGTCATAGAGACACAACACGCTGCCTTCGGATTCCTCCAGGCCAACCAGCAAACCAGACCTGGGAAACACAAATAAATAAAAACAGAAAGTGTTCCAATATTCTCTCAATGTGACAATAACTAACAGATATAGACATATGCTCCTTAAAGGAGAACATAATATAATTAAAGTTATAATTATAATTAAAAAGTAGCTGATGTTAGTTTTTTGCACCCTCAAAGGTGATGTTTGCTTGTTAAGATTTACAAGTAGCTGAACCTAGCGGACTAACTGTTTATGTGTCACTAAAGTGCACAAAGAGACGGACCGTTTGAGCCAGCTGAAGTCCCTGGCAGCAAGAACTCTAGGTGGGTTCTCTCCTCCGCCACTAAAGCAGTAGGCAGACAGACGTTCTCCAGTCACCGCATGAACGACCTCCAGATGGGGTCCACAGGCCAGCCAGGCCAACCCGCTACGACCTTTACACACACACACACACACACACACACACACACACACACACACACACACACACACACACACACAAGAAAACACAATCTCTAATGACAAGCAGCCCTGTACATAGTTAATTGATCTTGCATGCAGAAATCCAGAGTGCTATTCCCTCTTCTCAACGTTAAAAGTGTGAATATGTTATTACAGGGCTATAAAGAAACAATCCTTACCAAGAGTGAATTTGCCCTGAAGGACACAGTCCAGACTGATGTCATCCTCTCCTAGAGCGTCGACTGTCACTCCTGAGAAGGGCAGCAGGCTGCTGGTGACTTGGGCGGTCAGTTCACGCATTGTTTACTACATCAACAAAAACACAGGAAAAAACATTTGTTTTTCAATTTAAAGGTTTGTGTTATTCTTCTGCATCAAACATGGTTAAAAGCTGAAATCTGGGGGACAGTAGTATGTGCTCGGCCAGGTTTAGTCAACAGAAGCCCTTTCTTTCAAAGCACAGCTGTAACTCTTGTTGTCAGGAAGCATGCCGGCGTTCCAGACGCAGCTGTCAGCAGGTTTGACAACTGGACCAGAAACTGAACTTTCTTTCAAACCAACAAGGCATCCTGCAGCATATCTACACCCTACAGATACTTCTGACACAATTATGGACAAATACTGATTACTGTTAAAGCACTCACTGTCATTACTTATTTAAATTTCAATTTCTACCAACAAACTTTATTTCAGTTATCAGTCTAAATACACTCACCTAAAGGATTATTAGGACCTGTTCAACTTCTCCTTATTGCAATTTTCTAATCAACCAATCACATGGCAGTTGCTTCAATGCATTTAGGGGTGTGGTCCTGGTCAAGACAATCTCCTGAACTCCAAACTGAATGTCAGAATGGGAAAGAAAGGTGATTTAAGCAATTTTGAGCATGGCATGGTTGTTGGTGCCAGACGGGCCGGTCTGAGGATTTCACAATCTGCTTAGTTACTGGGATTTTCACCCACAACCATTTCTAGGGCTTACAAAGAATGGTGTGAAAAGGTAAAAACATCCAGTATGCGGCAGTCCTGTGGGCAAAAATGCCTTGTTGATGCTAGAGGTCAGAGGAGAATGGGCCGACTGATTCAAGGTGATAAAAGAGCAACTTTGACTGACATAACCACTCGTTACAACCGAGGAATGCAGCAAAACATTTGTGAAGCCACAACACGCACAGCATTGAGTCGGATGGGCTACAACAGCAAAAGACCCCAATTGGGTACCACTCATCTCCACTACAAATAGGAAAAAGAGGCTACAATTTGCATAAGCTCACCAAAATTGGACAGCTGAAGACTGGAAAAATGTTGCCTGGGCTGATGAGTCTGGATTTCTATTGAGACATTCAAATGGTTGAGTCAGGATTTGGCGTAAACAGAATGAGAACATGGATCCATTATGCCTTGTTACCACTGTGCAGGCTGGTGGTGTAATGGTGTGGGGGATGTTTTCTTGGCACACTTTAGGCCCCTTCGTGCCAACTGGGCATAATTTAAATGCCACGGTCTACCTGAGCATTGTTTCTGACCATGTTCACCCCTTCATGACCACAGTGTACCCATCCTCTGATGGCCACTTCCAGCAGGATAATGCAAAGCTCCAATCATTTCAAACTGGTTTCTTGAACATGACAATGAGTTTACTGTACCACAATGACCCCCACAGTCACCAGATCTCAACCCAGTAGAGCATCTTTGGGATGTGGTGGAACGGGAGCTTCGTGCCCTGGATGTGCATCCCACAAATCTCCATCAACTGCAAGACGCTATCCTATCAATATGGGCCAACATGCCTAAAGAATGCTTTCAGCACCTTGTTGAACAAATGCCATAAGGCAGTTCTGAAGGTGAAAGGGGGTTAAAAAAACACCGTATTAGTATGGTGTTCCTAATAATTCTTTAGGTGAGTGTAGATGAGCTCTTCTCATAAAAGTGTCCAGTTAGTTTGTTTTGGTTTTTATTATATCCTTGTTTATTTCACTTTTTAGCAACTGGTGATATTTAGAGTCTGAAGATGAGAAATCAGAGAACACCTAATCAATGGAAAATGTTCAGCCAAAATGAGAACATTTTTTTTGCTTTTGTTATATAAAAGTCTCAAAGGATGTATTTTTCCTTTTATTTTTGCAAAGTTGTTTGCTGAAGTGTCCATATGCTTAAAATAAAGTGAGCATTTAATAAAAATATTTTTAAATCTGAAAAATGAACACTTTGCCTAGTTTTAGCTCAGTAATAAACACGGCAGTGCATGTGTGCGAGACCCCTCCCTAAATTATATTGACTTTGTCATTACTAACAACAGTTGGCTAATATTTTTCCATGCCCACGCTCTATTTACAGTTAGTTGACGCGCCCCAACTAAATGAAAAACACTGCACTATGCTCCAGAATCGCTCCAGCTCGACACAACACTGCCCCCCTGTGTCCACTAGAGAAACCACAACACATTCAAGTGAACTCCCGCGCAACAATCCTGCTGACATGTGGACCTCATGTGGACATCATCTATCCAAAAAAAACAATGCCACTGTCTGACGTTAACTAGGCCACCAAACTTCATAAGCTAAGCTATAGATGCACAGATTTTAAAGGACGCGATGAGCAGTGAGACAGCAAAGCTGACGAATATTTTCAGACATTTTAATTTCAGGAGGTTAAAAGGGAAGAAAATTACATCTAAATGCAATCACGAAAGGCTTCATCAAAGGTGTACATGCTATCTAAACTCTGATCAGAGATATTCTGAAAAATACCGTTAATCGAAATATCAGCTTGTAACCGCTCGGCTAACTCCCTTTGGCTATGAATCAGACAGCCACTGACCCATTTTAGCTGATAAATAGAACATACTGCTGAAATGTTAACCACGCTAACAGCATTTTAAACGCACAATGTGGTAATTAGGACTAAACTGTTAGTGGCTGTCTTGCAGTCTTTTTTTCAGCTACATTAGCAGGCTACATAGTTAGCGTGCAAGGTCACGAAGGATTAGTTTATTCAATTTCGCCGTTAAAGTTAAGTTACATATCCTAGCGTAAGCAGATAAAACGAGTATTATGTTCAAGTGTTTATTATTGGTAGTTTGGACTGAGCTGACAATAAAGAGAGGATCTAATAAGTAAAGTTACAAATATTCAAAAGAAAAACAGGCAACACTAGCTTGATGTACGTAGCTAACGTAGCTAAGTTGAACCGAAAAGTTCAACAAGCGTTAGGTTTGTTTGTGGTTGACAGCTATTTGTGGCATTTTGTAAGTGGAGACATCTTAATTTAAGTTTTTGTATCATCTGCAACAAGAGAAGCCTACAAAGCCATTTTGGTGTTATGCATAAGCTAATTCGACTGTAACGTAAGGCAAACACTATTAGCTTCTGCTGCCACTGTGGCAGATGCAGCCCATCTTAAGAGTAAGTAACGTTTCCTTTGCAGATTTTACTTCTTTTTTTTTTTTTTTTTGCCCAGCAGAAGCACAGTGGTGACTTGCGTTAGCTATGAACCTACACTAGCTGCGCTGGAAAGCGTGATGCAATTTCGGTTCTGCTATCAACGTAACTAGTACCTGTCTAAGGATGAAGACTTCGGAGCAGCTTTGGCCTCGTTTCTCCCGAATAATATCTCCTTCCTCTGACATAATCCGATGTTTTTCTTAAAATATGACACACACGAACAACCCTCAATAAGTTGTAAAATGCTAACAGGAACGAAAGACTCCCGACTTCAGGCTTTCTCAACACGAAGCGCCATTTCCACGGTAAGAAAGTGCTTCGTTCACTTCCTCTTCACTGACCCCAACTCCGAAGATTAATCGCAACTGAAACTCACTATCGCCCCCTCCCGGTCAGGCGGAAATTCTGCTTGTTCATTAGTGGAAAAAACACTTACATAACAACAACATAGGTTTATGAACAATAATTACATAGATGCGCAGGGAGATGAGATACGTTGTATTCCAATGCCTAGGCCAGGACCCAGGCTACTTTAGAGTGGTGTTGGGGATCGGGCAGGTGCTCTGTCTGCTGGATGGACAGGATTCCCTTAAGATCAACTTCTAAACTGTGGGTTTATCAGTTTTCTTGGTTTTATTAGGGGAAAATAAGCTTCAGTCATTAAAGCTGATTGTTAATTTTTAAAGAAAAATAAATAATTTAAAAGTCAAAGTCTCTCTCTCTCTCTCCACACGCACGCACACACACACACACACACACACACACACACATATATATATATATATATATATATATATATATATATAGAGAGAGAGAGAGAGAAATCTGGACCCAACACATATCAGAGACATAAGGACAAGTTCAGTGGTGTTTGGGGGGACCAGGGGATGAGGGCGAATGATGAATTAGAAGGTGGCAGACAGAGATGGATCAGGAGTCCCAGTGACCACCCTGGCAGCAGTCCAAAAGAGCACCTGGATCCTCCATCTTGTGTCTAAGTAAGTAGTGAGCAAAAGAGAGGGAGCATCCGTCAAGCTATCTGAAGAATGTAAGACTAAGGGAGGTTCATTAGCTCCAGGAGTGACCATGTCATGTGCCGGGGTGAGTGCTCCTCTCATTTTTGTTCCATCTTTGAGCTGCTGTGTTTCTAGAGAGGGAGGCTCCAGCTGCAGCTCATTTAACACTCAGCGGGTCCAGCTATAAGTGGAGAACACCTCCACGCCGGATTAACTTCAACTTGGTAGTTCCAGCCCTTTGTGTCTCCAGGTTAACTTGAGTGATTTTTGGATTTTAGAACCCTTGTGCTTACCTGCTCCCAGGATTTTTGGATCGTTTGTGGACTTTACCTTGACTCCCCGGCATCTCCTTGGCATGGGCGTTGCACCCGAGGGGGATGTGGGGGATTCAACACCCACACTTTTCTTATTGAGATCGTTTAACACCCACACTTTTCCAGCCGTTTTGCTCACCTCCACACCAGTCTGGTTTCTCGCACTCACTCTGTTAGCCTCATCTCCTTCCCCTCCCTCTTCTGTTTCTCCTTGAAACCCGAGCCGAAACAGGAGGGGGAGGGAAGAGCTCGACTGAATTCATAATTTTACATCTTGACATTAGCTGTACAAACTCTCTGTTAAAGTGAAGAACAACAATTTGCAGAGAGGTTTATAACAGGCGCGGCGCCAGATTCTCATTTTTGGGTGGGCCACGGTAATTTTGGACGGACCTTAAGCAGCAGGCAGGTCTCGCTAGAAAATTTCGTTTAAAAAGACGTCATAAAAATGTTCCCCTCATTTTTATTTCTAAAATATGAAGTAAAAACTCCCAATTTAATTTTCATTCATTTTTCATAGGCACCAGAATGCATTACCTGCACTTCTAATATTTACCTCTCAACGCAGGACTTTCATAAGGGCACGTGCAGTATTTTTTACGGTTATTCATGGGGCAAAATCTCCCGACATGTGAAAACACAAAAAAATTTATCTTCCAGTAAGCATCCAGCCCACCTCTCCAAATGCGTAAAATGTGCATCACAGCTGCTAGACACGCCGCACGCACCATCAGGTAGGTCAGCCCAGACAAGAGCAGAGCAAGTAGAGAAAGAATAGAGGAAATTCTGTCTGGATGTAGATGGAGATTACATTTTACAGCAGCCTGATCATCATTTAAATACGTAAACCATCACTTGTCTTCTAGTCCATGCTATCAGCATTATTTTAATTGGTGTGTGTGTGTGTGTGTTTTCCACATCAAACACTGGTCTAACCAACCAGACCACAGCGTCCAGTAACATATTAATGTTACAAACAGTTTCACTTCATGTAGGCTAGGAACGTTTCACCTGCCGTGGCCCGACCGCTTCTGCTCCACATAAACTTTGTGTGTGATCAAATGTCTCTACAGGTGCTTTCTGAGCTGAAGAGGATATTCCTCAGACTGGATGCGTCTCCATATTAGAGACGGGAACAAGCGCTATTCAGCCAAAGTTTCATAATCAGAGAACATTTTTCCAAGTGACACATCCCTCAGAAGGACCGGGTTTCCAGACAGTTTCAGTGGGAGGAAATCTTATCGCATGTGTCGTGGTTCTGCGCTGCGCTCACCTCTAGATCTTCAGCTCCCTGTCCACCATGTGCGCTCCGAGCCGCGCTAAGCAGTGTCCAGTATAAAGCTCTGATGCTCGGATGGGAATCATTTCTTTATTGATTTAGTTACCTCTGCAATGTGCGTAATGATTAAAATGTCAGTTCATCTGTCTGTGCATCAGTGTGCGTCGGGGTAATTCTTTCAAAACAACCAACATCCTTGAGTTTATCCATCAAAATAAACAGTCAAATGGAAATATCTGTAACCTGCCATTTAACTGTTTTGCCTTCTTGTGAAGATTGTTGCAGAGAAACAACTAAACTTGATTAACCCCAGAGCCACGCGCACTGCGCTGTACTCCGTGACTGTAAATGAGGGGGAAACTATTTAATCAGATCCTTTTCTTTTCAACATGGTTTAATGTAAAGTTTCATTCAGTACAAACTTTAGTTACACCAATCTAACGAGACAGAGCCTGGATTTGTATTCTGAACTGTTTAAACATGTTTAAAACGGAGACATGCGTGACACGTCTAAAATTCGCACCTGCTCCGCTATTATGGAAATTCAACTAACAAGATGAATAACATGAACTTATTTTAGGCACAGACAACATCCCCCACACTTTTGAAAAGCTTGCAACACGCCTCCTTGGACTTCTGAAGCTTCTCTGGTTTTCCTGTGGCTCCTCTGATTGATTACTTGGACATTTCCACGATCCCGCTGAATACCCACCTGTGCCCCATAAATCTCCTGGACGCAGCATTCACCGTTCTCCTCTCCTCCCTACCGGCCCGCTCTCCTGGACACCCCCTCTTGGATTCACCCCGGCACTCCACCTACCTTTTCCAATTCGGCTCACAAATAAGTCTTTACTCTGCACCTTCCTAGTTTAGACCTACCTCCCTGGACTCACCTGTTCCTCTGCTCTCCCCTCCTCAGACGCTGCGGTTCCGTTGCAATCCCCACTGCGCCCTCAGTTCCCGACTCTTTAAATAAAATTCTTAAATTTTTCTAATTGACTCGTGGGTGGTGAATTCTGCATGTCTTGGGTTAAACTCGTCCCCAAAACCATGTCAGACCATTTTCTCTGTCTTGGCCAGAGAGGGGCCAATTAAATTCTCTTCTGGCTGATGTGGCTCTTCAGTTATTGTTGTTTTGTGCTTTCATTTTGAATAGTTTTAAGACTCAAGAACTGCATTTAGGCTATGTGATAAAAGCTAAAAATGTGAGCACTCCTGTCACACTTTACAATACAAAATAACTATTTCAGATGAACCTGTATTTTACAGATGTAAAAATATATATATATATTTGTGTCAAGTAAAACATTATAGAGGATGCACTCTAAATGACTGCTGTGAAACGAGTTGTCTTTTGCAAGTCGTTTTATTTTCTGCTCGGCATCATCACCTCTCGTGTGACATTCTTTGCAGCGGAAAAAATGTGTTAGCAGAAAGGCAATCATGTAGGCAGCAGCAGCAAAACATAATTGTTTTCAATGATGTGACATATTTGACAAACACTAAAACCAGTTTGAACCGCTTATTTCACTGATGTCATCTTAATGACTAGTAAAGATTTCCAGTTCCAGTCAAATGGCTTCAATTTTCAACATGATTCACCGAGATTTGTTTTCTCATTTTTTGCAAAGTACACAGGTATGGCAGTCTTAATAAAAAAAAAATACCTTCATAAAAAAAAAATTCTAAAAATTTATGAGTTATATCAGTATTTTAACTGATGGTGTCTGACAACATGTCAACAGCTGAACTCTGATGCTCTTTTCTCCTCATCTGATGTTCGATCATCAAGTCAAACTCTTGCTTTTCCCTGATGAAAAAAACAAAAACAAAACAAAAATCCATAATGAACATTCAAAAAACGAACTCACTTGTCCTGCAGATTTAAGACAATTTCACCTGTTACTGACACGTCGTCCTTTAAGGTACTTTTCTTCTGCCTTTTTCACTGAAACATTGTCAACACCAGCAATAGCATAGATGATGGCCTGTAAAGAAAGACAAGCTTACAGTGGAATGAAGAGCTAATTTGTAATTAGTAATTAGTTTGTACTCACCTCGGGTAGAAGAACATCGAGAACAAAAGGCACTTGGTCCAATGACTTCATCTCAAGTAGGCAAGATGATTTAGACATGGCTGTGGTGTAGAGCTCGTTTAGGTAATGGTAGACTTGATCCAACTGCTGGTCATCTTCAAGGTAAGTATTCACGACCCGTCTCCGCTTTGCACTAAGAAAAGAGCGGAGCCATCTGGACTGCTGCTGTCCATGGATCACAGCCTGCAAAAACACAATGATTCACAACGAAGGCTCTAATGTACACATTTCTCAGCTGAATACACCAGTACCAGTGATTGAACAGTTTAGGTTAAACTGTAAGCTCAGCTCATGTGGCCTCAGACTCAGTTTACACATTTTGAAGGAAATGTGATCATTCATCTAAAGTGACTAAGTTCATCTCAAAGTCCTGCTGCTGAACTTACATGATCACCATCATCATAATGCATAAGCGGGAGCTAAAATACTCATTGTATGATTACTGGCCCTATGCAGGTTAAAAGGGAAATAATATACCTCTTTTTAAACAAAATGTAATTGTTCTATGAACAATACATGTTTATGAAGCTTTGCATGAAATCCCTCTCACATGAAGCGAGCTCAGCAGAATGAGCCGTTTCAGGTATCTGTCCAAGAGAAGTCACCCACAAATCAACTTTTATTTTTTTGCTGATCAACTACACTGCCTGGCCAAAAATAAAAAGTAGTCACCAACAATAAAAATAAAAAATGGGTTACCCACTCTAATGTTTAGTTGGACCACCATTTGCTTTGATTACAGCACACATTCGCTGTGGCGTTGTTTCGATAAGATTCTGCAATGTCACAAGATTCATTTCCATCCAGTGTTGCATTGATAATGGTAGAGCCCGACCATTGCACAAAGCATCTCCAGCACATCCCAAAGATTCTCAATAGGGTCTAGGTCTAGACTCTGTGGTGGCCAATCCATATGTGAAAATGATGTCTCATGCTCCCTGAACCGCTCTTTCACTGTTTGACCCCGATGAATCGTGGCCTTGCCATTTTGGAATATGCCCGTCATCAGGGAAGTAATCATCCATTGATGGAATAACCTGTTCATTTAGTATATTCAGGTAGTCAGCTGACCTCATTCTTGGAGCACATAGTGTTGCTAGCTCAGAAGCCCCGCCAAATGCAACCCCATAATAAAGCCTTACAACCTAAAGACTGGTTTACCCCACCCACTTGGCCTGGACATGAATCTTAACTGAGCTGCATGCTGATTGGCCAGCTCACCCTGATGGGTTTACAGTACTATTGCTGACATTGAAGTGGGTTGGGACATCATACCTGCAAATTCTGAAGGTGTGAATATCCCCCCCCCCCCCCCCCCCCCCCCAAACCCTCGAATAAGGTCCTTGCATGCTGCATATTTACATCAGTAGGCTCTGTAGTGACCTGCTGTGACATTTATACACCTCTTGTTGCTAAAATAATCTGTTGGGATAATTTAAAAAAAATCATCAATGTGAGTTTTTGCTAAATGCAAAACATTTTCTACCACAAGGTTTAGACAGTCACTCTGCTCAGAAAAAAAGAAAACTTCTTACTGACCAAAATGATCAGGAAATTATTAGGGACCATCATATATTTATTAAGAATTATTATGAGACTAACTCAAGAACACCAAACATGAAAATATCTTAAAATACTTCAGAATACTGTAATCATCATTAAGAGGTTACTGTTATGGGCCATGGGTGCTGCTGCTTTGATGAGTTGGTTGTGATTAAATGTTTAGAAGGAGCTGCAGCTGAATGCAGCTTCGTCTCAGTTGTTTGCTTAAACACTGTAATAAACCACCAAGTGTAAAATGTTGTCCTGAATCTTCTTTAATGCAGCAGAAATGTTACAATAATATAAAATTATCTCATCATGTGTTTCTCCTCCAGCGTCCTTAAATTTCTGGTGCCCAGATCAATATATTGGGATTGAGTAGGGCTGTAGCATACTGGTGGTCATTTCTACCAGGAACACGTATTTATATTACTAATATTAGGTTTTAACAGGGTTAAATACTGGCAGTGTTTACTCCGAACTGAACTCCAGAAACAAAAATAATCCATAAAGAGCCTGGAGAAATATCTATAAAGGCTGAAAGGAGGTAAATCCGCTAAAGTCTTTGAGAGAAAACTGTTAGTGGTGATTTTGTTTGATTTGATGAACTAAAAGCTCAACACCCCTGCGAGATGTTTTCTCAGAAGGAACTGTTTCTCTGTGGCCATTACAATATTACTAATTTACACAGGAAAGCAGGTTGGAGACAGAATACGGTATGCTACATTGGACACCCCAAGCTGTCTCCATTGAACATGTAGTTTTGAAGATGGAGAGACTGTCTTAAACCCCATGAATCCTACCAGAAGTCGTGGTTCCACCATGCGCTGCTTCACAATGAAGTGTACGAGCTTTTCATTTGCTCGGTTATGGGCTGCATGGGTCCGATCTGGTAGCAGCCTCTTTGTACTTGTACAGACTTCCTCGTTTTCATTAATGCTGTCCTCCTTGAGGTCATCACATGACTCCGCAGTCATCAAATCACTGGCAATAGTCAGTCTCTCTGATGCTGCCTGTGGATACTTTCTCCTCACAGGGTAACCTAGAGAGGTCAAAGACCAGCAGCTGTTAGAGGTGTCAGCCTCAGGGCAGCAGCTGTACTGGGGTCTTATTATGTCAAAGTGTCATATCTTGCGATCTTATGGAAACTTACTCATGGCATGATTAAAATACTCAATGAAGGACCCAGAAAAAGAGCCGCATGCTTAAAACAAAAACACATGATTAGTGCTGTTAATTCAAATAAACTAGTTTATGTATCTGACATGTATACTTATATGAACAATAGCGCTCTGCTGGCGTCTGTTTGTTCATGTAATGAGTGGACATCACACACCAATCCGGATTCTGTAGTCGTCTATGAGCTCCAAGGACCACGAAACAGCAGCTTCATAGGTTTCTTTGGCTTTATGCTGAGAAAAAAATGACAAGAGAGAAACAGTTATGGTTATGAAAACCTTTTACTCATTTTCAAAAGTTTTAATTGAGTATCTTACCATCAGCTCTTCTGATTCTTCACAGTCAAAAGGTTTCAGTGATCTCAGAGCCACTGTGAAACTTCAAAAACACAAAAGATAAAAAAGTCTAACTCAACATTTCCTTTTTAGTGTTGTATTGTTTGCTGTACCACTACTCAGTCATGTACAACAGCATGTACCCTTTTTCTGTGATCAGACATGAATTCTTTAGCAATCAGAGAACATATTAGTTCTTACCCTTTTTTGCTGGGATTGTCTGCAAAAGTATCATCAACAAAAATGATGCTTGCTTTTTTCTGTTTACGATTCACACTTTTTACCTGCAGAGGATTAAAAATAAACCTTTTAGGATCCAAATATATTCACCTCTAAAACACGATGCACACTCACCCATGCTGGCCAGAATGGATAATTTCTAAATTTGCACCACACAAATGCTCTATCTGTAATGGCTGTGGGCCCTTAAAAAAATAAAAAGATCATTAGGAACATGCAAGTACAGACAATGTAGAAATCTATGCAGCAGTCTCACTTTCATCCATTTGCATTAAGAAACTTGGGAGTTCTTCTTCCTGATCATCACTGGTCTCATCTTCCTGGAAGGACGAGGGCAGCAGCTCCTTGTAGTGACTCAGCTCTATTGACAGATCTGAAGACAACAATGACCCATCTTTTGGGAGATAAAAAAAATAACAGTTAGGATGATGCCGTTGTTCACCTGACTCAACAAACACATATCATCTGCTCTGCAAGTCTGACGAAATACTTAAAAGAAGTAAAACCACAAACGTGCATTTGAAGTCAATTTAGCAACAATCTGAGCTATGTATGGGTTTATGCGTGGACTCTTCTCCAATAAAGCAGACATTTACTAATTTTGCAGTAGGGCTGGACAATAAACCGAAAATTTATCGTTATCGAATTTTCTGACTCATAGAGATCATTTTTCCCATGTCAATAAATTTGATAATGAATAAATGAAAAGATGTGTGTAGATCGGCAGCGTTCATGTCCCTTTAAGAAGCCGTACCCCCTTGAGTTATGTAAAAATGTGACTCAATGCGATACATGTGACAGCCCAATAAAGTGGACAACTTTTGTTTCTGCGCATACCTGTATTTATCGTCCATTTATCGTTATCGAGGTGAAATCCTCAATATACCGTGATATTGATTTTAGGCCGTATCGCCCAGCCCTATTTTGCAGTATAATAACACAAATTTAAGACTGCACCATGATCTGATGTGTCAGGCATCTGCAGTTCAAATCTTGGTCTTGGGAATTTACAAGGCTTAGAAAGGGTGTTCCCTTTTAAATTTCCATTCTCAGACTTCCGCAGCCTCCCACGAGTTTGCTTCGCTGTAGAACCACTGACTCCAGTTGGCTGACACATGGCTGATTTTTGTTTCACTTTTCTCGACATAGAACGTCTCCTTTTTCTTCCATTTTGAGATGTGGAAATGGACTGTGAACCTCCCTCTGATGTCTAAAACACAACACAAATCATATGGAGATTGTACAACCAATTGGTTAAAAAACAAAGAGGAAATTCATGTTTAAAAATAAGTCAAACCTTTCAATTCACCTTTGCTTTAGAGCTGACTTTAATGCATCGTAGTTGCACTTTATCTATTTGGGGAGATGGGTGAGAAATAACACTGGAGGAAGAGCGGACTGGAGTGGAAGTCAGGTTGACGTCACGCTGCTGTCCTCTCTGCCTCTTGCTTGGTGTCGTTGGGATGTAAGTGGACAGATCGAGAGAGGCCTGATCATCGCTTTGCCTAACATTTGATTTCTTTGCACGTGGGGATGAAACTGTGTCTGTAACGACATCCTTTCTCTGCGTCTTTTTTGGTTTAATGTTTCTTGTTTTGCAGCGCCCACCTGAAATATTTGGAGAATGACCAACGACCATTAAAACACTCAGGAATATTCTAATTTCATGAGGGATTACCTTTCATTGTGCTGTGCCCCGATGTAGTCCTCCGCAGGACAAAACTCATTTGAGTTCATTGGCTCAGACGGAAAACTTTCGATATACCTGTGCCAGGATAATACAATTATCAGAACTAATTTGTATGTAGAGAAATGTATTTGCCAGCATGAGAATGAAGCAGACAGGTAATAAACAACTGGGGCTAAAGGCTCGACCGTTAGCTCACTTTGACACTCTCAAGTTTTTACTGATGACCAGTTGGCAAACAAACGCATTTGCTTTAACATGAAAACAACATTTTACAACAAGCTTTGCTGTAAACAAGCTAACTATTAGGTTTGATGGGTTAAACTAGCTGTAATGTTACCTCTTTATAAGTAAACAGCATGGTTAGCATGGGTGTTTATTTGAGATAAAACGTGACAAGGCGGTTTAAAATAACAAACTCGGTTATTTAAGAGCAGATGCGTGAGGTACTTTCACAACTGCACGCAGTCGAACCACTCCATGGCAGGGTACGCTGACGCTAAACACTTTCAAAAACACGAGATGAAACAGCATATTTGGTTCCTAAAGACAAAAAGAGTGAGACAAATACTCTGCACTCACCCAACAGCTTCACATATTACTGATCAGTTGCTGCTGCTGTAAGCGAACTTCAGCATGAACTAATGCTAGTACACAAAGCTGCTTAGTACAATGAATATGACAAATACTTCCAAGTAACTACAATTTAAAAGTGAAAGCAACGCGTCGCAAAAAGCTGTTTAGAACCACGGACATATGAAAACGACATTTGTTTCTACTTGTACGTGAAATACTTTTGAGTAGCCGCTCAGCGCCCCCTAACGGTCTGGAGTATATTGCGTTAACACAAACAAGTAAACCAAAGGAGTTCAAGTCAAGTATTCTTTATTCTGGACTCTTAGTCCAATTCACAGAAGTAGAAAAACGTTGTATAGGTAAGAGTAAATGAAATGAGCACGACGTGACATGCTAAAGAGACAACATAATTATGAGAACAAGAACAAGAGAGAGTAGAGTGAAAATAAAGTACAAATTATTATAACTCCCTGTAATCTAAAAAAAGAAAAAGACGGTTATACCAGTGTTTCTATATCTTTAACTGGTAACGTATTGCACTGACACTAGTATTGGTTAGATTTAAAACAGTCACATTTTCAGAATTGTCCAGCCTACAAATATATTTATAAATAAAATGTCTAAAGACAGCTTGTAGGGTGCTCACCCTCGCATTTACAAAAGTCTCACTTACACTGGTCCATCTAGGCTTCCTCATTATCAAACGCAAAGCATCATTATAGGCAGACTGCAGCCTACGCATACGACATTTCTTATAGTTAGTCGGGCAGTGGGCACCAGTGTACAATAAGCCTTAAACAAGGTTTACTTTATCAGAACAAGACCCAAACTTACGAACACGTGTATTTCCCTGCATATAATAATAATAATGTATTGAACTTATATAGCGCTTTTCTAGACACCCAGAGACGCTTTCACACACTCTCACATTCACACACTGCTAGTGATGGTAAGCTACTTGTAGCCACAGCCGCCCTGGGGAGGTCTGACAGAGGCGAGGCTGCCATTTGACGCCGTCGGCCCCTCTGACCACTACTAACACAGGCAAATTGGGTGAAGTGTCTTGCCCAAGGACACAACAGCAGGATACCCCTGGTGGGAGCTGGAATCGAACCCATGACCCTCTGATCATGAGTCAACCCGCTCTACCACCTGAGCTACTGCTGCCCAAATATAACACAAGGCACTGCCTATACATGTCATCATCATCATCTCTCATGTCCTCTGTGATGATATGACCAGAGATATTTCATTTTCTCTGTGACACTAATCACAGAGTTTGACTGATAAAAATCTGGAAAATTCATCTGCTCGTTCTTCTTGGCCCAGCAAATCATAACCACACTTTTATCTGCATTACAAACAATGTTGTGCTCTACTCCATAGACAGAGCAGATATCTAGTAATTGCTGCAGACCTGTCTGACTTCCGTTCTGACCTTAAATGGCTCTGTGATACTGTTACCCCATTTTATCAAACATTTATTGACCATACCAATAAACCAGGATGTATCTTGGATCACCTCTCTGCAGCAGCTTTATGAATAGTTTCCTATGGTTAACTCTATTAATTGCCTGAAGCACACTGAGGAATTCTGGTTTCTGTATTTGGTAATGATCTCCTTTAGAGCACATATACACACGTCTGTACCAAACAGACAAAGCCAAACTGGTTATCTGTGATTTTTAAGGTGTCATTATTCTGTCCAGCAGAATCCTGTCCAAGACTTTTGAGTATGCTATCCAGAGCAATGGGCCTAAAGTTATCCATGCTACCAACTCTCCCACCCTTGTCTTCCTTCACTTGACCAATAGCACTGAATCAGGCAAACATCCATGAGCAAGAAAACATGAAAGGTACATAGCCAGGAGTGGTTCTAATCATCCAAATGGGCTCACCAGCATGAATTAAAACAAGATTTTGCTGGATAAATTAGCTTTAAATATGTTATAAACCTAACCATGCTTTCAATAATTGTTGAAGTGATGTCTTATGCAGCACTGCTTTTCTCTATTATAACTTTTATTTGTTTTATAAGGTTAAAAAGGTCATAATTTACAAGGTAAAATCTGTATTGAATCTTACTAGTCCTTTTGTCATGGTCTGCGTTCTGCGTCTCCCTCATGTGTCTCCTTGTGTTCTCCATCCCTCTCTAGGTTCCCCTTATGTGTCTGTCTCCTTGTCTGCACCCCCCCTCAGGTGCCTCCCTGTGGTCCCCAGCCCCCTCCAGGTTCTCCCTCCTGGTTTCCCTCATGTGTCCCCTAAGGTTCTATGCCCCTTTTTGTCTCCAGCTCCCTCCTGGTCTCCTTCAGATCTCTCCTAGTCACCCCTCTGTAGTTTTTCTATAGGTTCAGCTTTTCTTTTTATCAGTCTACTTTAGTGGAGTTTCCTTCTCCACTTGTTACCCTTACTCCTCAGGTCATTAGTTATTTATTCTTTGGTTCTCCTGTGCCCTTAGTCTTTTAGGTTTATTATTTATTTTGAGATTTATAGGTTCGGGTTTATCCCCTCTGCTTGGTTTCCCCTTCCCATTTAGTTAATTGATTTCACCAGTCTCCCCGTAGTTCTCTCTCCTCACGCACCTGCTCCTCGTCTCCCAATCACCCAGTCACTGTGTATATAACCCTGTCTGCGTCCCAATGTTATGTCGGAAAAAAATTTGTGGCAGAAAGAATGGGAAGGGGAATGTAGAGGAAGTCTTTATTTTTCTTGTCAGCCGGCAGCTCATAGTTGGCAACACTTAACCTGTTGTCGTACAGATAAAGTGGTGATTACCAGAAGGAGATTGGGGCACTGTGGTCTGGCAGCATGTTTATTTAGGATTGGTAAACATGTAGATGGGTTGTGTGAGTGTGGTAGTTCCGAAACTGCTGTTCATGTATTGTTGTCATGCAGCAAATATAATAGTGAGAGGCGGCAACTTTTTATGGGGCTGGTGGATTTGGGGTTGGAATCTTTTTTAAGTCCTTCTTTTCGATTAGTGCAAATTCCCAATGTGTATACAGCTTGACTGTTCAATTCCTTCGTCACACTGGCATTTATTTGAGGATATAATGTAGCAGTAATATAACTGTGGTGGGCAGCATTGCGCATTCCAGTGTATAGCCTGCCGGAAATTTATTAGAAGAAGTGTTTTGTCGGTCCCCTGATGTTTGTCAGCGTTCTTTGTCCCCCCACTAGGTCCCTAGGTCTCTGCTCATTGGTTTTTGTCTTTTAGTTTAGACATCAGGTTTGGCTTCCTGCCTTTCTGGATTTTTTTTGTTCCCCAACCAAATAAAAGGGATTTTACTTTTACAAATCGCTCCTGCCTCGTGTCGTCTGGTGTTCTGTATCTTGGGTCCTAAGCCCCCCCCCCAGTGACGCCTTGGTATTTTTGTGTTTACCATAATTATTGAGAAGTTTAACCCTTTGATGCATGAATTATGTAATCTTCAACCATGATTTTTTTCATTCATATTTAGGTGAGAATGAAAAAAAATTTCAACAAAATTTTTTTTAAACATTTAATAATTTACAAATAATTTATTACATGTCCACCTCAGTGGACAGCGTGCATTCTGAACATGAAATATGTTGGCTTGACTTACTGAAGTCCAAATGGAGGGGCTCAAATGCAATAAAGTCTTCAACAGCTGTGCTTAATAGCAAATAAATAAATAAATAACAATTTTGAGTACCTGTTCACTGTGGTGACCATTATGCATCAAAGGGTTAAACATTTTAAATCAGTAAAACAGATTTCCTTAATTTAGGAATATCTTTAAATTCTTAATAATTTTGCACAAATAATAAAAAAGGAAACAATTTCTATTCAAATAACTTTTGTATATTAAAATATATATATTTCAGATATTTTAAAATAGATTATTTTTTGGAATAATTTTAAATTATTTTAACAATACTCCTAACTCCACCAGCACTAATACAAATTACATGATCAGATATCATCTGTTTTCCATAAATTATCTGTATAAAAATCTGTAACAGGTACGATTTTGTTTATATTTTTTCCTTTTGTCAAAAATCCACCTAATATGAATAACCAGAATAATAATAGGTTTAAATTGTGAATCTAAGAATAATGATAATTCTTTAGCGCTTTAATTAGCTCAATAACTGAGGTGCAAATCTCACATCTTGCCCACGAATAATCTAATTACACTATCGCAGATTGGTCACAAATGATTAATTTCATAGAAAATCTCTTAATATAGTTTGCACAGGGTCAATGCTAAATTAAATTATACCATGCGGACAAATAAACATACCTACGTTTTAGAACAGAGGTCAAAAGTAATAGGAATAATGCGTTCAAAACAACAGATTTTGTAAAGCGCAGTCCTAATTTCCTCAATTTGCTGCGGCATTAACATTATGAGAACAGCAGAGGGCGCTGTGCAACCGCTCACAAAAGGGTCATGAGATTCCTGCACATAAACAAGATTTTGCATTTTCCCACAGGTGGAATCATAATCCCACTCTTCCATGTTCCCAAGCTAAGACCTTTCCTTTGCATGAATTTACTTTTTACAGGGCAGTTTAAGTGGTGGAGAAATAGAAAAAGGTCTCTGCTGGAGCTGTAAATACATTTTACCATCAAACTGTGAAACTTCCTGTTTTTGTCCTATTGACATTCAATGATCTGCTTTCATTAAAGCAGTGGTAGGCAATCCTGGTCCTGTGCCACTATCAAGAATGCTTTAGTTGTTTCCCTGCTCCAACACACCTGATTTTAATTGGAAGGTTATTAAAAGGGTAACCTGGTGAACCATTGAACTGGGCGTTATGGAACAGGGAAACAACTAAAACATGCTGGGTAGTAGCACTCGAAGACCAGGATTGTCTACCCCTTGCTCTGAAGGACAGATGAAAAATTAATTACACAGAGAAACAATTTTAAAATGTGACGTAAGATTGTTTGAATTTTACCACTACAGGTCATGACTTGAATAAAGAAAAAATGCGTGACTGATTAAATTTAATGTGTAGCAAACAACTTGTTTTCCCTATTTTATAATGCAATAAAAGGTGAGGGTTTTAGTCTTAATTCATGTTGTGTCTTTTACTGCATTCAGATAGCAGATTTTTCTTTTAATCCAAAGAGGATGCATTAAAACCTCTCTTGGCTTCCATATTCAATCAGATGTTCCATAAATGTGGTGTGAAGAATATTTCACATGTCATATCTTCTATAATACAATTTTAATCATAACAACAACAACAACAACAACAATAATAATAATAATAATAATAATAATAATAATAATAATAATAATGCATGACATGAACTAATTCGTTACAACTAACCTGCTTGTCTCACATAATTTATTTATTTATTTTTATTTTATCAATATGTTTCTTCACAATTAGTCCAGTTTTTACAGATCAATCATAGGGTTGTTTCTGTTTTCTTTTACTCAGAAGTGCAGCAGATCCTCGTCGTCACACCCGTTTTGCCAGCATTGGTTCTTAATTAATTTTTGTAGGGATTATAAACATCCCATGATCGACTTTACCTGAATAAATGCAACATTAACCCGTTTCTCTTAAGTGTCCCATCTACTCTAGGGAATGCAGCAGTCCACCTGCCACTCAGCACTGCAGCTGGATCCTCTGGATGTGCATTGGCCCAAGGCTGATGAGGGGCAGGTTGGCCCCGCCCTCTTCCAGATGTGCGCCTGGCTCCGGTGTCCCTCAGTCCGCCGCTGGCTTCAGCAGAGTGCGGAGCGTCAACAGGAGGGAGCGCATGGGGCCATTAAAGTCTCAGCTAGGCGGAGCAGACTCACACTGCGGTGGTGCTCACTAGTGGGGAGAAGTCTCAACCTCCGTCAGACCTGAGCGGCGGAGTTGAGACTCACCTGGACAGCCTCAGCCGGATGAAAGAGGCAGGGCTGCGCGCGGTGCGGACAACCAGCTCTGAGCGCAGTCTGCAGACAGGGAGCGGTCTGCACGACCTGTGCGTCTGTTACAAGTGCTTCAAGTGCTTTTTTTTTCTTTCTCCTTCTTAATTTAAAGCAACAACCAGAGGAGAAAAGAGGACCCACCGGGGATAATTCATCTCTTGGCTTCGGAAGGGGGATGTAACCTGCTTCCATGCTTCTGAGAGCAGCGTGAGGCGCACCTCCAGCCAGCCAGAGCAGAGTAAACTGAAGGGGCGTGCAGTTAATTGAAATCGACCCAGAGGTTTCTGTTTTTTGGATGTGAAGCAGCAGCATAGGTGTTTTCTCCTTCCCTCCTCCTCCTTCCCTTCCTCCCCCACTCTTACCTCCAACATGACTTCCCTGTCGGGCACTAAGGAGAGGAGCAGCCGGAGCAGAAAATGTGGGGTAGGTTTTTATTCATTCCTGGTGCTCCTCTGTTTGTGAGCCTGATATCTAAAACAACTAAAACAACTTATGCATCTATCCAGGGCTGCTGGAGCTTCACTGCACCAACCATTTATTCACAGTCAGAATGTCATAAATATAAAACTAACACCTTTCATTTTATACTTTTGACTGATGGTGTGAAAACAGGTTTTTAAATTCTCACAGGATCTGCTGCATCACGTGTAAATAAGGTGTTACACACACTCTTCCACCATACTGCCTAGTTAGCCCTAATTTATTACCAGGGTTTGGTCACATTAGATCCACCTCTTCACTTGGAGATGATTGAGCCTTGCCGCCCACCACCCTGCACACCGCTGCTTTATTATGGCTCTTGTGAGGGATCCTCTTCAGACGCCACCACATCAGTTGCTCTGCGCTCTGAAAAGTCATCCAGCCTCAAAAAAGATTTTCAACTCTGTGGTTTATTTGATGTTCCCATGAAAAAAACCTGCCTCATTTGGCTAGATCTAGACCTAATATGCCCACTGTATTTACATTTTGTTTATTCTTGGTTTGTATTTAAGTATGTTTTTATTTGCCTCTTTCTTTGCTGATTAACTCAACATTTCTGGTTTTTGATATAATGACTGCATCCCTTCTTTCCGGAGCTGTTGTCAACAATCATTCTGTGATTTGTTGAAGTCAACAAAAAATAAATGGTTTACTGGCTGGGTATTATGAGCACCCTTGTTTTGCTGCACATGCAAAAATGCTAATAACTTGATGCAAATCACGTACTCGCCTCTCTCACCCTTATATATTTCCTCCCTGAGCAAACTTGTTTGACAAAATCCATGTATACATATACATATATATATATATATATATATATATATATATATATATATGTATATATATATATATATATATACATATATATATATATATGTATATATATATATATATATATATATTTATATATATATATATATATATATATATATATTTATATATATATATATATGAGAAAGGGATTAATATATAAAATACATTTATTTATTTTATCTATTATTTTATATATTATTCCCTCTCCCAAGGATGTAATTTAGTGATCTAAATGTTATACTTATTTTTTTAATTGTTGTCAATATACTTCTTTTACATAACGTTCTGCCTATTTTCTGTAAACAATGAGTAGTAGCCTGGCAAGTTATCGTACATAAAAGTACAGTCTGGCCATGGTGTTCTTGTCATGCGTCTTGCCCATGTATGTCTGATCTCTGAAGTGTGTGTACTGAAACTCTAATTTCTCTCTGGGATTAATAAAGTATCTTTGATTTGATTTGATTGATTGATTGACCCATCAGAACAACCCAGTTGTCTATCACACTGTCTCAACGGAATTGGTCAGCACTAGGACGAATTAGAGCAACTAACAATGTGATGTAATCCTTACTATGGAATTAGTAAATATGGCACCACGTTATTCACTATTGAAGAAGAAGAGGAAGCAAACACATACTTTTTTTTTTATAATAAATTAATAAAGTACTGCTTTCTCCTCAAGTCTAAAACAAAAGCCCCAGTCTAAATTGTCCAAAGTTGATGCATAAGCTGTTTCAAATGAGCAGCACTCCTGAGCTGATGCCATCCTTGCAGTTTTATTCCATTGCAGCTCTGGTTCTTAGCCCACCGAGTGCTGTGATTGGCCAGACACAAAACTGTTCGGTCCTATGATCTGCTGAGATTGACCAGCAGAGCAAAATCTTTTGTTACAGCTACAGTTGGTCTACTTACTGATAACTGTATGTGTATTTTCACAGATGTCTGACACATCACCAACAAAATCTGCCTCCTTTTTCCCGGAAACATGGTACCGAAAGGCCTACGAAGAACCCACACGCTCCAGCACACGCCCAGCCCCAGAGGGTGCTGGCTCTATGCCCAGCTCCACTGGCACCCCATCCCCAGGCTCGGGGATCTCATCACCAGGATCCTTCTCTGGATCTCCAGGGACCACCTCTCCGGGTATTGGGACAGGATCTCCAGGGTCTCTAGGGGGCTCTCCAGGCTTCGGGACGGGATCGCCTGCCTCAGGTAGTGGAAGTTCCCCTGGCAGTGAAAGAGTGATCTGGTGTGAGAACTGCAACGCTCGGCTGACAGAGCTGAAAAGACAAGCGCTGAAACTGCTCATCCCTGGACCATACTCCAGCAAGGTAAAGCTCTTACTCTTCACATGAATCATCTCGCACATTTCCTTGTCACTATTGGTCAGTGGCTTAAAATCTCAAATGTCATTCCTTCATAAATGCTGGCATTTGAACGGTAACACTTGGGCGCTCATGAAGGACCAGTCTTCAAAATCGTCGCCTTGCTCACAGCGTTGCTGTGTCACCACAGTTATTGTTGTAATAAATCAAGAAGATGCTGCTGCTCAGGTTTATCCACCCCCCACTTGAACAGCTGTGAGCAGAAGTCGAGCGCCCTTTGGGATCTAGGATAATTATTGCATCTAGAGCTGTTAATCGAACACTGACAGGGTGCCAAAATAAAATAACCACAAACAAGAAAATTAATCCTCACCTTGGCGTTTTCTTCCTGACATGAATGATTACTGAGCTCAGTTCGCTTTATCTGTGCATCGATCTTCCTTGTTTGGGACTGGATGGCTTGTTTCAGCCTTTTGACAACTTTGTCATTTTAATTTAGTCTAGATGACCTCAAATAGCAGGTTGAGAGTTCTGGTGAGATGCAGGATAACTTTGGACAGAGGCAGAAACTACCACACGTTTATAATTATGGGTGCTGTTTGTTGCATTTTGGTAAATTTCTGCATAAAACATGTTTTTTTAATATACGATAAGACATTAAGAAGTAACCCTGTGTTAGCAACACCTAACGTGCTCTTTTCAACCCAACCTTTCCTTAGAGATTTATGTTTTGTCACTAATGAAGTTTTTACGAGCTTCATCTTCGGGTTTTGACTTTGCTCAAGGCAAATGCAAAAGGAGGAACAGGAGATGTACGGGTTTAACTCAGAGTTTCGTTGCATGCATAGAAATCAGGAAAATGTATAAATCTGCTGCAAAATGTTTTCTCATTTATTGTCTGCAATGCCCCCGTTAGGAGACATGTGACTTTTAGCCCCCCCCCCCCAATTCCCACACACCCCCTGGGTGAGCGTGCGCATCACAAATTGAGAACCACCGGTTTAGGGCCCGTCTGCAGCAGCTGACTGAGTTTAAGTTATGAGCACCAGTCCCCAAATTTAGGGCTTTGAGTTAATTAGTGACAAATTAGCACATTTTAGCAGGGAGCTGAAAAAGTGCATGACATCCAGTGAGCTCAGAAACATTCACTGTTCATCTCACCAGACAATGCTGCAGAGTCAGGATCAGTCAGAGTGTTACAGCTGGAAATAGCTAAAGTCATTGAGACTTTTGCTGGTTGATTTAAGACATTTGTGAGAAAGGGTTTGGTTCAGACTGATTACAGATTCCTTTGTGGTTGGTTTTATTGCTGAATGGAAAGAGCACAGGTATAATGTAGATAATGCATTCATTTTAATAAAAGCTGTTTTTAATGAAGCATTAAAGGAGTGTTTACTTTTACACACAGAGGATGTGGAAATCAGCCTAAAAGGCTATATATGGTACAACATGCAGTTAATGCCAAACACTTGTCTATATTCAGATAAACATAGGTAAATAAAATTGAACACATCTATAGTAATTTACACTAATGCCATGATGCCCGGAAGACCTTAATGGGACTTGTTAACTCAAACATACAGAATTGAATGGTTTTGCCTCTGTGATGCTGATTGCAAAGACTAATTTCCAGAGATTATGAAGTAAAAGCACAAAAATAAATAGGAAAACTAGGAAGGTAAGTTGACATTTTTTGTCTTTAGTGCATGAAATTTACTGTCAGAAGAGCAAAATGTGCTAATTTCAAGCCACCAAAATATAAAATAATTGAGTTATCATCACAACTTTTTCATTCGTATTTGGGGACTGACAGATTTAAAAATGCTTATAAGAACAGCTTGTATTTATATGATGCACGGTAACATAAATATGGCACACGCTTAACAACGTTATTAAAATCATTGTTTAATAACTTTCTAGAAATGTATTTCATAAAATTTGTCTAATTAGAAACTAGAACGATTCCATCTGATTGCAGCTAAGGGCTCATTATTACGAAGATGAAGCAGCTCTCCAGGACAAACGGTGACAACATCAGTTTAGTCAGAATTATAGTCTTTAAAGAGTATCACGTCAGTGACGTACCCACCAAGGAAAATACGGGTGAACTCATGTTAGGTTGTATGTATCCTCGTATGCTCATGTCCTTTGATTTCTTACTGCGGTGTGGTTTTTTGAACCTTTGGTAAACACACCCGACTCCTGCAAAGCTTTGATGCAACAGCGTCAGCTCTCTTTTAATTTTATTTGTTTTTGCAACAGCAAGCATCAGTAAAAACGATTCAACAGAACTATCAGCGAGATCTTTCATGTGATGGGAGAACTGGTTTTACTTTTGAGAAAGTTAAAGAAAGAGTTCACACCCCACATTAAATAAGCAAGTTTCCTCTTGTCTGTCACACTGAGGTTCCGTTTGAACCAACAAGTACGACAAGTTCAGCTTCCTGATTTTTAGACCTGGTTCAGTGATGTAGAAGGGTAATACCCCAGGGTCCTTCCTGAATTACTGATCAGTTCAGTTAATTTAGCCAGGTCTGGTCTGCGTGTGTGTGTGCGTGCGCGTGCACACATGCATGTGTGTGTGTGTGTCTACCCTGACACGAGTAAGCTGACCTGCACAGGTGCTCTGTGTCAAGGAAAACTTGAACTTATGTCCTTGATGAAGCAATGTGACCTAATAATTCTTCCCCTTCACTAAATATGCAAGAGCAGCAAATGAGCACGTTTGTGTGTGTGTGTTCCTGATGTACTGTCAGAGAGAGACCTTGTGTTATTCCCATGAGATATTTGGGAATGAGTGACCTTCCCCACCACACAGCTAGAAAACAAACACACATTCATCAACGATGCAAACCACAGCACATAAACACAGACAAATCTGTTTGTCTCATGAATATGAAAACATGACAGGTCATGCTTGAGACCTGCAAGCCAAGCATACACACACACACACACACACACACACACACACACACACACACACACACACACACACACACACACACACACACACACACACACACACACACACACACACACACACACACACACACACACTTCACATTCAGATTTAATGTTTCTGCAGCTGTGACTTAATTTAGTCTTTAAACAGTATCTGTCCTCACAACATTGGTAAAACAGGTCCTCACACAGGGCCGTTAACATTATGCTAATTATGACCTTCACAGCTCTTACCTTTAGAACATTTTCCTGTTTGCATGTTTGCAGTTCAGTGTCTTTATGCGTGTGTGTGTGTGTGTGTGTGTGTTTGTGCATGCATGCATGCGTGAATGTGCGCGTGTGCAAGAGAACTAAGAGCATGGCAGAATATGTCTCTATGAGCAAATACTTTAGTTTTGTAAAACATTCCTGCACCAGCGTACAGAGCAAGATGTTATTATTTAATCTAAACAAAGTGTTTCTTTTGTTTTTCTGGGTAACATAATGATATGTGCAGATTTATTCATGGCTCTACTTAAGACCTGACAATTTTTCTACTTTTGCTTTTTTGTTGGACTGACCACTTTTGTTGGTCATGTTTTAGATCAGGAAACAAATTTAAATATCAGAGGAAGAAGATAAGAAAAGAAAAGAAAAGAAAAGAAAAGAAAATATCAGATGAGATGAGATAAGCTCTAGTAAGTTTACTGATCAGGGAAAAAAGCTGTCTAACTTGCTCCTGTGTGGAAAAGTAATTAGCCTCATTGTTAACCATTTGAAATAATAATAATTTAAATCTCCACTTTTCAAAAATGAACTATTTATTTGCTAATATCTTGATGAATTCCAATACTTTTGGTATTATATTCCAATGAGACAAAATCTTTCTGAAAGGCGTGTCTCTCTGCCTCAGAACAACAACCAATAATCACGCTTGGTGGTGGTACGGTGATGGTGTGGAGCTGCTTTGCTGCTCCAGGACTTGGATGACTTGCTGTAATTGATGCAAATATGAACTCTGCTCTCCACCACAAAATCCTGATGGAGAATGTTTGACCTTTGACCCTCCAATGTGGCCAGATTCTGTAAAGAAGAGTGGGACATAATGCCTCCATGGTGTTGTGAAAGATTCTTCACAAACAACTGATTGCAGATGTTGCTGCCAGAGTTTTTCCAGCCAATTGTGTTTACGGAGCAATTACTCTTCCACATAGATGCTTGGTTAGTGTTTTACTCTTAACAAATTAAAAACACATTTTATATTTACTCAGATTATCTTTGCTTGGTAATTAAATGTTTAAGTTTGCCAAAAAAGCAAAAAAAAAAATCTTTAAAGGGTCAAATACTTTTCACAGCGCTATATCTTATCATACCTTGGTATTAAAGTCTGGCTTATCCTAAATGAAACTCAAGTTAATTTCAGGTTAGTTTGTCTGTTTCAGTACCTGTTTTACAGTCAGCTGGATTAAGAGAGAGCAGGGCTAGCAGGTCATTTAGCTGCTGCAGCTGCTGGTGGTAGGGTGGGGGCAAAGGACAAAACAGAACTATATTACAGGCTTAGAAGAATCAGAGTATGTTTTAAGATTTAGACACACACAGAAAATTTGAAGCACATCTGGCTGTACATCTGCACTCACTTAAGGCTTTTGGTTCCTGCTCTACGAGAGCATGCAGCTGTGTGTGTGTTTATCCCTCATGCCCAAACCCGAGTCATAAACGGAGGGAGGATGATCTGTTTTTGGTTGGTCCAGTTCAGCTCAGGAAAGTGGGTCATACCATGCACGTGCTTGTGTGTGTGTGTGTGTGTCTAAAAGTCTGTGCGTGTGTGTGTGTGTGTGTGTGTGTGTGTGTGTGTGTGTGTTTTAGTCACCAACTGAGAGTCTGGTTCAGATCAGCTGAAAGTCAAAACCATCCATGTTTAAAAAGTGAAAAATATACAACTCCACATCAGTCGTGGAAGTGAAGCCAGACAAGGAGATGTTTGTGAATGTTTCTTTCATCTGTGCTTTTCTTTTTAAAGTTTATCGTTTGAAGTGCAGAAAGCGCTTCTCTGTTGGAGTTTCCTC